TATAGTATCATCGTATTACAGTTAGAGAGAGAGAGAGAAAGAGAGGGAGAGAAGGAGAGAGAACAGAACTGCCCCCACATCATTCATTGAGTAGTCCAACTTGGAAATCCATTCATGCGAATTTTACACGCGCTGCGCAATGCAGGATGCGCATTGCAAACTATTTTGTTGTTGTTGTTATTTTCCGTTCTCACTCCCTCTCTTTTTGGCACCTCGTGCTCTTTGGTCCGCTCTTAAGTATTGTGGGCGGTTGGCTGTCGTCGAGCAGCTGTTCATTTTACATTTGACGTCAATGTCAGGCACCAAGCAGGAGTCGCAGGCTCAGCGTAAATTATTCATTATTCGATACGAGTTTACGCGACGTACTTACATACACATACACGTGCGCTGTGTGTGTGTATGTGTGTGTGAGGGAGGATGTCCTCAAAAGCGTGGGAGCACCATATTGTTATTTGTCGCCACATGTGTGTGCGTTAATGAAGTGTGTTATACAATGGCAACAAGTTTGTGCAACAGTTTGAGCTTTTTATAGGCTGAACAACAACAAGTCCAACAAGTGAAAGGTTGCTCAGCTGCAAGGCGGTGTTTAACACAGCGGCACTAATTTTGCAGAAAGTGAATCTATTATTAGGTTATTATTTCATAATTGCAAACAGGGGTTTTATATTTTCGATTTTTTTGGTCCATTTTTGAAAGGCTTGAAACATTTTAATAGATTGCTTCCCTTTGGTAATTTGTCGAACTGTAGAAATATAAATACCATGTTTTTTTTTATTATTTTTATTTTTATTTTTTTTATTGTGCATTTTTTTTCCAACAATTTAATAATAACCCATCTTTGGAAATGTATAGATGTTTAAGTATATATTTAACATACATATATTTGATTCAGAATACTGTATTTATTCAGAAAGTGGCTAATTTTATTTTATTTTTATTTTTGTGATTATAGAAAGGATTCAAACTTTATAATAGATAATAATAATTCGTCTTCTCTTCAGTATTTTTTGGGATTGGTTTTAAAAAATGTTTTATTTTTGAAAAGTACAAAGAAATAATTAAAATTAGACGATAATCGATCAAGAAAGGTATTCCTAAAGATCTTATTAATTTTGGTACATTACGATTTGATTTTATAATAGTGAAGCTACTTTTTCGTGTTTATCTAAAGACTACAATTTTGTGAGGAAATGTAGCTTATCGCGTTTTTACTTTCCCCTGAATAAAAAATGCAATCAATTAAATGAGTCACTCAGGCATCAAAATTGATGATCCTAAGTGAGTCACTCAATGCGCTAATAGAGCACACTTGATCAATTTGTTTGGTTTATTACGTGTGTATGTGTGTGTGTGCGTGATGTGTGTGTGATCCACATAACGGTTGCTTCCGCCACTTTTTTGTTGTTGCTGTTTATTTTTCTATTTATTGCTTGTTGGATTTTGTTTGAATTTTTGTGAATGGCGTCAAAGTCAACCGCTTTAGCCACTTTAGCAGCGAATACACAATTAACACACACACACAGCGTATATGGCCATGCCGCAATGCCACAAAATGCGATTAGGACACCAATTGCTATACCTACTGCTTGGTTACTGGGTGTCGTCTTCACGCGTGGGTTGTGCACCCATTTTTCGCAACAACTTTCACAACATTTCCGTTTTGCTGAATGTTGAATGCGGCTGACTTTTGCCAATTGATTAACCGGCGGGTTGCTACGTCAGGGCACCCCTCTGCGTGTACGTGTGTGTGTGTGCTCGTTGGTGATAAGGTTAAGCCCGCATAGGACGCACGCCCCCGCTAGCCATATCGCTGGTGTTTGCTTGTCGCTGCTATTATTATACACATTGGGTTTATATTCATAACCGAAATACGCCAAAAATAACAAAATATGCTAGTATGTCGAGGATGCCCGACTAGCAGATATTCTCCATCCAAATCTTTATCTACTTAAAAATGTAATTTTCTTCTCGATGAAATCTGTACATATTGTTCTATATATGTTGTCAAGTTTTTCAATAATTAGATTATAAATATTGATCTTTAAAATTCTGTCTTTAATTGTGAATTGAATTTTTATCGATTTTACGGAATGGTATCAATAAAATGAAATAAACTTGATCTGTGGTATACGAAAAGTTATGTCTCCAGCGTTTAAATGCTGATCATGAATATATTTCTTCTGCCTGTTATATGCACTTACACAAGTTCATTATACTCATTTTAGTAATTTTCAATGGGTGCAGGGTATAAATGAATAAATAATAATAATAAAACACGCACCAATTGGCTGCTGCTTCGTTGCCAATCGAGACTTGGTCGTTTTTTGTCGCATTACGGCTTACGATACGGCGTATACGTAATGGCTTATATCAACTGAATGCACAAGATCAATTAGTGATCTTATATTTAATATATGCACAAGCGTTCGATCAGTTAAAGTGGAAGATTAATACCAAAATATATAAAAACAAATTTCGTAAATGAAAAACATCAACAAAAAATGTTAAAATGGTATTAACTAGTTAAATATACATTCAACATATATATATATATATATATTATTTGAAAGGCAGACAACGCGGCCCAGGGTTGCTTTTTAGCATTCTTATTTTCGTCCACTTTCTTTTTGGGCCATTTAACATTTACCAATTACCATTTACCACGCTTTTCGATTGCCAGGCAAGAGTCAAAAACGAAGAAAAAAGAAAAAATGCCAAACGCCACAAGAAACCAAAGCGCGCAAGCCAAAGCTTAGCAATTTTTCAAGTTAAAAAGCATTTTTGAATTGTGGGAGCACCTTTCACTTTACAGCGATGATGATCATCATGATGATGATGATGATGATGAAGAAGCATGAGCAGAAAAACAGTCGTAAAAATTGAAAAAAAATAAAGAGCAACTAAAAATGCTGTGCACAAAACACAAAGAAAAGCGATACATATGTTTATATATATGTATGTATGTGTACATACTGAGATACAGACATAAGTACACATGTATACACACACTCTGACGAACACACACACACACAACTGCATTTTTATAAATGTGAAAGGTTTTCGCTTGCTGCAACATTATTTAATCAATCCAATTTGTGGAGCAAGCGAAAAAGCAAAATCGAAATATATGTATACAAAACACAAGAAAAAAGAAAGAAAAAAACTATAACCAGTTTAATTATTTTATGAAATTGTTTTTTTTTTATTTGCTTCTTTTTTTGGTTGGTTTTTTACACCCTTTTTCTTAACTTTGCGGAGACTACACAAATTTGAATAAAATTGTATAATGGAACGAAGGCGATATGCAAATGAGAAACTTATATCTATGTATGTGTGTTGAATTAAAAAAAAACAACAAAAACAACTCAGCTCAGGCGGCTCATTTTGTCTTTTGTGAATAGATTTTCGAAATTAAGTGCAACCGAAGAAATGTTCTCATAATGAGCTGGTCACGTGACGTGAAGCACAACAGGTGCTCATTTGCATATCGATAACGGCGTGTGATCGATAGCTAAATAGATTTTTCTACAATCGATAACAACAACATATTAATGATGATCATTAGATGCTCAAGCAATTGCTGAAGAGGCGCCCACCACTTCAGCGGGGTGCAGGGAGCAGGCTCTCGTCGTCATCGAACGTTAAGTCGGTGAAAAGAGCACCTGAGACTTGCAACAATGAGTGCTGCTCAGTGATGCTCCACAACTTGAATATTTATTCGTAGCTTGGCCCCCAGCGCTGCTGCCGCCATGCTACAACGATCCACAGCTGAGAGAAAGGCCGATCAGGGGGGTGGGGGGGCAAGCAGCGAATGCCTGTGAGCATTTTTTGTTGTTGTTTTGTCTCTTGGCTTTCTTTCATCATCATCAAGCTCCCCACAATATCTCTCTCTCTCTTTTTCTCGCTCTCCGTATAGAGCCATGTGCTTGTGTGTGTTTATGTTGCCCGTTTTGGTAACATTTTTCAAGAATTGCTAATTCTCAACAATTCCAAGGTTCGTTGAACTCATCATAAATACACACACACACTCACAGGCACGCACACACACACACACACACTTGTAGAATTTATTTACGCTTCTCTGCTACTTGCCGATTCTTGGCCGCTGCGGAGAGACGGCTAAAATATATGGAGAAAGCACTTGTGCAGGGACATACATTCACACACATACATGAAAACGAGGGCGGCTCATAAAGCGAAGCAAGCAGAAAGTATTTTGCGGTACTTTACACGCATACCTATGCATGCATGTACATATGTGTTTGTATGTGCAAAGCTCAATTACTGTTAATAAAAGCTTTCGTCCACAAGAATAAATGAAGCTATCAATGCAGTTGTCATTACATTTGCCCATCACGTACTTTACAAGCCTCCCTCGCACATACCAATGAATTCATATGTACATACATACTTAGGCATGTATGTATGTATGTATAAAAGGCAGATACAATGTACGCGTGCAAACGGTAATCAATGTTTAAGTTTATGTGCCGAGTACGAATAAGTGGTAAGCTTGAAAGAAGACCCACACAGAAGCGCATCGCGAAGACGGGGGACGAAGACTGGGGGCCAACGACAGGGGGGGAGAGAATCGTACCTGCCGCGGCACGCAAGCCGGCTGTGAAACACACACACACAGACAGAGTCACAGTTGTTGCCACAACGACGACGTTCCCTTTTCTTATGGCCAAAACTGGATTTCCATTTGAGTGTTGCTTAGAATGTGAACATTCTTAAGGCAAAATAAAAAAATATATATAGAGATATCTGTATGTACATTTATATTTTACATACTAATGGCCTTTTAAAGCCAAGCGTAATTACATGCACTTTTTATCATTCTATATAATATGTATGTATATATATACATACACACAAACACACACACAGATGCAGCGACAACCAGAAAGTGTCGCACTTATATGGGTCAACAATTTAGAGCTGTACATTTGCTTACAGCAATTAAGCAAATTCAAGTAGTCTTTTTTTATTATACTCACACATGCATGCTATTTTGACAAAAACTGGCACATTGAGATTACATCATCGAGCTTTCAAAATACATTCCAATTTCGCATTCTGGATATTTTATGGCAGAAGAAAACTCGTTCCTGCCAGCAGCGGCAGCGGTAACTAACAAAACAAACACTTGTTGCAAATTGTCGCATTTTGGCTCATCAAATGCTCATTATGCGCATGACAATTTATCAAGGTTGTTGTTGGGTATACAAATATATGTTATCCATTTAAATTGAACTAATTTTTATTTTTATTTTAATCTGTTCTAGTTTGTTCTTTGTTACAATTAAATTATTCAAGCCTTGCAAAATTAGCGATGCGTTTCGATTACGTGAAACTGTTATCGATAGTCTCACGCAAAAGGACATTCAGTCGCAAACTAATCATCGTTATGGCAATACGAAATGGCGGACCTTTTGAAATAGATTTTGGCATAGATTCAAAATACAAATCACTCAATTGCACTGACGTTCCACTTAAGTTATTATGACTTAACAATTGATAACTTGAAATTGCTTTTATTTTTTATTTTGTTTGAATCAATTTGAATTTCAAGGGTACGATAGAACCGCCGTCGTCTCTGATAAGATTGACAAACACAACGTACCTCGCAACGCATGCAGCAAGCCAGCCATCTATCTATGTATATATATTTTTTTTTTATATACTTAAATATATACACATATTTTTCAATATTATATTTTTCCTATCTGCATGGTCCGCGTGTATCTGTATCGCTGCGTTTTCGGTTTTACGTGTGCCAACGTTTCGTGCGATTCGCTTTTAAATTATTATTAATGCTTTTGTTTCTGTTTTTTTCTTCTTACTTGCACAAATAAATATTTTTACGATTGTTTCTAAGTTATATAAGTGTGCTATCGCTGTGCAAAACAACTAAAATGTGTTTTTTTTTCAATGCCGTATGCACATTTACTAATTACCTTTACTGTTGTTCTCTTTTTGTATTTACATGAACAGACGGAATCCTTGAAAATAAGCAGCGATCATGATATGCATGATTGGTTTTACGACCGCGATGATGTCAAGGATCCAACAGTCATCCTACACGACAAGCTCATATCCGATGCCCTCTTAAATGGCACGGGACCAATTAAAACGGAGCATTCCTATAGTCTCAACAGCGATGGTGATTCCCTGCCAGATTCACCAAAAAGCCTGCAGGCCAAAATCGATGGTATGTTTTTTCAAATTGTAGAATATCGATATATATATATCATTACGTTTATTATAGGCTTGCTATCGATTATTTTTGGATAACGGTTTCGCTAACGTTCTTCTTTACGCTTAGATTGTGTGGCGGCTAAAGCCAAGACAAATACAGTTGCCAGTTGGTGGCTCCATTGTAAATTTAGGCCATGTACATAGTGATCGACAAACGACAACATGACAACAACTACAAAAAAACAGTTGAACAGCATCTGTGTGTATTTTTTGTTGTTGTGTTCTTTACTGTCGCGGTAGCATTTAGCAATTTAGCGCAGTACTCGTGCATGAAGCTTTAATATTTTGAGGCGATATCAGTTATTGTTGTTGGTAATATTCCCGTATATATGTATGGATGTGTGCATGTATTGGTGCACTGTGTATAATTGCTGGCTTTTCTGTTTTTATTATTTGTAATTTTATGAAAACTGTACAGCAGCTGTGTAAATAAAATGAAGTTGTTAAAAAACAGAGCAAGAGAGGGAGAAGGGTAGGGGGAGAGAGAAAAGAACGTGGCTGAAAAAACAAAACATTCATATATCCAAACCAAGCAATGCAAACACATCTGCTGACGTACTTGCCCCATTGGCAACTGATCCATAGTTTTTCCCTGTTTGTACAGTTACAGAATAGAATACCGCGTTATTAATCTAATTTTTGTTAAGTACTTGGCTCCATCCTCTAGGCCATAGAACAAAAAATACAATATGAAATGAAAATGGTTCAAAACAATATTTACGCACATATCATATTGTTTGATTTAGCGTTTCACGTGACGTAAGCAGCATTCGTACGTATTAACGTAAAATATAACCGTTAACGTTACTGCTAACGGTTGCAAATCTCTATTCGAATATCTTTTCTGACGACTGCGCATCCAAAGAGAAAGGTATGCATAAATAACAATGTCTCCCATTAAATCGAACTCAATAGAAACAAGTTTGGCGCATTCTTCGCATTATTCGCAAATTTGCAGCACTTTAGGTTAATTACAAAATGTCTATTGTTAAGCGTCTGGTTTGTTATTTGACCTGCCTGCTAATCGAGTTTTGTTTCCCTTGTAGATATGGATGATGAGTGCTACTCCGGAAGTGGGCGCGTCACCATCGATCCCAAATGCCTCACACTTCACCCGCCCGCAAGAAACAATCGCAGCACCGCAATGCTGAGCAGCGCCTGCGCCAATCCCGCACTAAACACAGCCATTACGGAGTTAACGGCTGCAAGCACAGCCCTGGCACGGCACACCAATTGTGAGGTGGTGCAACAGAGTGGCAACACCGGCAACAGCAACAGCAGCAGCAGCGGCGGCAGCAACAATAACAGCAGCAGCAGCATAAATGTTGCAATGGAACATTTTCAACTACCTCAACATTTGGCGGAAATGTACGATGATAACGATTGCAGCTCATCGGTGTCATCGGCCAGGGAGGGCAGCATATCGCCCGATATCTGCTCAGACATCGATATAGATGAGGCGATCATCAAAGATGAGCCCATGTCACCCGATTCCAGCTGCCCCGCCAGTCCTAACTCACAGACCAGCAACCAACAGATGAGCCTCAGTCTGGCCAATTTGCAGACAGAACTGCTCTTCGACCAAAAGGTAAGACAATAATATAAATCATTAGAAATAATAAAAACTCAATTGTTCTTATTAATCTCAGCATGGTGGCCTTCTGCTTGCCACCAGCAACAACAGCAGCAGCCTCATCAAATCCCAGCAGCAACAGCAACAGCTCTTACTGCCCAAGATGGCCATCAAGACGGAGAAACAAAGTGCCGGTAGCAGCAATAGCAGCAGCAGCAGCTCGGCTAAATCGCATGCCTATGGCATTCCATTAACGCCGCCCTCCTCTCTGCCTAGCGACGACTCAGAGGGCAATCTATCGCCGGAACATTTGTATGCGCCATTGTCGCCCAACGCTTCCGCCGTGACCAATGCACCTGGCAGTGGCGACTCAATGGTTAATAATGCTAGCGCGAGACGCGCTGCTGCCATCATAACCCGTGCCGCCAGTGGCAATGGTGTCGCCAGCACTCCGCCATCGACGAGGCAGCCCATACACACGCCGCTCATTAGCACGCAACCGGTAAGTCTCCAGCCACCAATAATCGAAATCACCGTTAGTGAAATAAACAAACTAATTTGTTTACTCTAAAAGTTTGTTGATCTCCGTTTCATTTTTTATGCATACATAACATATATGTACGCAAATCTGCTAAATTCATAATATTTTGCGCTTTCAGAAGGGGTCAACGGGCAATCTACTGTTGACAGAGGAGGAGAAACGTACGCTGCTTGCTGAGGGTTATCCCATACCTCAAAAGTTGCCACTCTCCAAGGCCGAGGAGAAATCGCTCAAGAAGATACGACGTAAAATTAAAAATAAGGTAAGCATTCACTTAACTTGGCTTTGATTGATAACATTAATAATATTTGTTTGCAGATCTCTGCTCAGGAAAGTCGTCGCAAAAAGAAAGAGTATATGGATCAGTTGGAGAGGCGCGTAGAAATTCTGGTTACGGAGAATCATGATTACAAGAAACGCCTCGAGTCGCTCGAGGAGACCAATGCCAATCTACTTAGTCAGCTGCACAAATTGCAGGCCTTAGTTAGCAAGCACAATGTGAAAAAGTCCTAAACCTGATGCCAAGGCCCAGTGGCCATGGTTCAAGTTTGCCTGCCTGCCCGAGAGATATTTTTATTTTTATTTTATCTTATTTTATTATATTTTATTTGTTGTTGTAACGAGCACACGACGAACACACACTAGTGTTTTGTTTCTTATTAAGAATTTATCAGTTTATATTTTGGCTTTTGGTTAGCACAAAGCGGTAAACATTCCCCCAAAAATAATAATACCCTGCCAGCATCTCTTAAGATTTAGCAGCCCATAAATATGCCCATAACTGAAACCATATATAATTATATCTATATGTATATCGATTTAATGTTTAACTAGCTACTTATAGTTCGTATCATATATATTATTAGTCATGCATTCCTGTTATATAACCTGATATAGAGAGTAGGCAATGATCAGCAACCAACAAGCTCAAAAGAACCCCCACATAATCAGCGTCTAAAGAGAAGCTACGTAATAATATTGTTAACAAAATCAATATATATATATACACAAACTGACACACACACACACACACATACACACACCAAAAACGCATATGGCATGCTATGATGTGGGCTCTAAAAAAACAACGATTTGAATTTGATTTAAGAGTAATGACATGTACATTATGTTTTAATAATGCTTGATTGTACGAACTACTTTCAGAGCTGTTTCCCAAATATATTCGGGACAGTCTTTTGAATTGTTTGGCATGACTCTTGTTCCTTTATGTAGACGATATTTCTCGAAAACAAAAACGCAAAAACAACAGAAAAAAAAGAAAGAAATAAAGATGAAACCGAAAAATCGACAAAAATTCCATATATGTTTATGTAAATGTAGCTATATATGTGCATTATGATTATGTAGTACATAAAACCGAACTATGTCTTTATGCAGCATTTAAGTTTTTTTGTTTACCAGCAGCAGCTGCAAGCATCAATTGAATATTCCAATGATTGAGCGTAGAAAATGTTTTTGAAAACATATGAATACGCATTGCTGTTGTTGCCTGGACGAATTAAACAATTTCCGAGCCAATTATAAAAAGAAAAATATTGTTTGTTAAGTTTTATAATTTAAGTGGCGCTGCAGCAAAATGAATGAAAACAAAAAACAACAGCAACAACTATAACTACAATTTAATTTACTTTGCAGCAAAGATTTTGTTTTATTATTATTATTATTATTATTACAACTGAATTTTACGTTTTAGTGCAATTTTTTGGCATAACTATTCTTGTTTTCCGCAGGTTTTAATTATCTATATAAATGTATGTTTTGTCATGTATGAGTCATTTTAGTTTAAATTAGTTGAATTAACCATACACAAAAAAAATACTTAAACAAAATTGTAAGCGAATATCGATTTCGCCTAAAATCATAAATCTAAATGTATACTTACTGTAGCTATTTTAATGTATGTACATAAATCATGCGGACGAAGTTGTGCAATTGTTAGTAAAATTTTATATACAAATTCTATAGAAAATTACAAGATCGAGTTGACACCAATTTGAAAATTACATTTGTGCAATGAAAAATTTTATTCAAATGCGTTAAAAAAAACAAACTGATTAATGCATTACATTATATTTATACAAATATATATACATATATATAAATATAGTATGTATCATATGACCATACGTTATTTTTTGGCTAAAAAAATTTTTAAACGCATAAAAAATGAAAAAAACAAAAAAAATTGTAAAACATTTAATTGGTTGCTGTAATTGGGCAAAGTAAAAGTGCAATTCCAAATAAAATTGATACAACCATAACGACTACATTCATTTGTTTTATTCACTTAATTTACATTTTTATGTGAGCTTTTATTTAACATTATGTTGCATCAAGCAACGCTTACCGATAATGACAAACTCCATATAAAAAGACTGTGTCAAACAGTTCGGGAAGTATTTCATGCCGTATTTTTAACTGCCGGCTTAGAGACCGTTAAACTAAAGTCCACAATGTTAACTCACTGTTAACCTGTGTGGATTCTGTGAACAGCTGTTCGACGGACTTTGATAGATTTTGACGGCAGTTGTCGGCAAACCACCATGGAAGCGGCGAGTACATCGAAATGGAGATAGTAAATTACGAACAAAAAATGATTATTAACTTCTACTTATAAGCGCCGTAAAGGCGAGAAAATTAATTCATTACATTTTTTCTCACAGCAGACGTTTTGGATTTTAAGTTCCACAAATGAAATATATTGCAATTTCGTTCGCAAAATTTTAATCAATCTGTAAACTTGGTTTTAATCGAAACGATTTTCTTCAATTTTGCTCAGTTTATGCGGTGTTTTTAAAATTTGTGGATATTTTACCCAAATTTAAATTATAGCTTAAGTCGAACTATCAACTTTAATTGTAGAACTGTAAATGCTTATGATACTACAAAGCCTTAATTCTTTTGCAATTATGTGATTTTAAATTTGATAGAAAAGTTGTATTTGGGAACCTTTATCCCTGTAAGCTAAACAATTTCCGAGTTGAATATAAACATTAACAAATCTTGTGACGTAATTGCGATCCAACGCAGTCTGAGCAATCTGGTTAATGGTATTTTCTGTGCGATATTTCAGTTATCGATAATTCACATAGAGTCACACGTGCATTTGAACTCTCTACAACAACACCGCAACAGCATTGATTCGAGTTGCTTCAGTTACTTTAGATTTGCTCAAATTGAATTAAAATGGTGAAGAAGAAAATAGATAATCGCATACGCGTTATGATTGAGAATGGTGTCAAGCTGGGCCATCGCACCATGTTCATCATCACTGGGGACAAGGCTCGTGATCAGGTGCCGATTCTCTATGATATTCTCATCAAATCCACTGTGAAGGCGCGTCCCAATGTTCTGTGGTGCTACAAAAACAAGGATGATGCCATCTCCAAGTGAGTCGTAGGTGCTGTTTTCAATTAATTCATCAATCTTCATGCTCAAATTTTACGTGTCCGCAGTCACGGCAAGAAGCGTGCCAAGAAGATCGCCCACGGCAAGGTGGATATGAATGAGGTGGACTTGTTTGATGCGTTCCGTGTTTCAACCACCATACATGGTCGCTACTATTCGGAGACGCACGCCATACTGGGTCGCACCTATGGCGTTTGTGTTTTACAGGATTTCGAGGCACTCACACCCAATCTATTGGCGCGTACCATCGAAACCGTCGAGGGCGGCGGTCTAATTATATTGCTGCTAAAGACAATGCATTCACTCAAGCAGCTCTTCACCATGAGCATGGATGTGCACATGAGATTCCGCACTGAGGCCCATCAGACGGTCACCTGTCGCTTCAATGAACGTCTGATCCTATCACTAGCCGACTGCAAGCGCTGCCTGGTGGTCAACGATGACCTCACCGTGCTGCCCCTCAGCTCCAAGACGATCAATGTGGAGCCAGTGAATGTAAGCACCCCACAATTGATTTCGAGTTACAGTCGAGTGTTGCCAAATTGTTAACTGTTTCATTTTGTTTTGACAGCCGGTAAACATTGGCCGATCAGAGAACGAGAGTAGCCTCAAGGAGCTGAAGGAGAGCCTATTAAATGTGCAGCCCGCTGGCGCACTGGTTAATCTGTGCAAGACGTATGATCAGGGCAACGCAGTGGCCCAGTTTATTGAGGCGCTGGTCGATAAGCAGCTGAAGCCGCCAATATCCCTAACTGCTGCACGTGGACGCGGTAAATCGGCTGCTTTGGGCCTGTCCATCGCTGCAGCCGTTGCATTTGGCTATGTGAATATTTATGTAACATCGCCGCACCCCGAGAATTTAATAACGCTCTTTGAGTTCGTGCTGAAGGGCTTCGATGGGCTGGAGTATCAGGAGCATGCCGACTATACCATCATTCGCAGTACAAATCCCGACTACAAGAAGGCCATCATTCGGATAAATATAACGCGGAACAGCCGCCAAACCATTCAATATATAGCGCCCAGCGATACGCATCTATTGAATGCCGCCGATTTGCTGTTGATCGATGAGGCGGCAGCGATTCCACTGCCATTGGTCAAGAAGATGATCGGTCCGTATCTGATCTTTATGGCCAGCACAATCAATGGCTATGAGGGCACCGGACGTTCGCTAAGCCTGAAGCTCATCTCCCAGCTGCAGAAAGAGAACAATGCCCGTCCACCGCTTAAATTGGACGAGTCCATACGCTATCAGTCCAATGATGATATCGAGCGCTGGCTAATCAATTTGCTCTGCTTGGACGCGAGCACCGTGCCCAACATCAGCTCCGGCTGTCCGACGCCCGATGCCTGCGAACTCTATTATATTGATCGTGATGCACTGTTCTCGTATCACAAGGCCGCCGAGTCCTTTCTGCATCGCATGGTGTACATCTATGTGTCATCGCACTACAAGAACACACCCAACGATCTGCAAATGATGAGCGATGCACCCGCCCATCATTTGTTCTGCCTGCTCGGGCCCGTTCAGCGCATGGATCAATTGCCCGAGATTCTCGTTGTCATCCAAGTGGCGCTCGAGGGCAAAATATCAGCGCAGAGCATCAGCGATTCTCTGGGACGCGGCAAGAAGGCCGCTGGCGATCTGATACCGTGGAACATAGCTGAGCAATACGGGGATCGTGACTTCCCAAAGCTATCCGGTGTTCGCATTGTACGCATCGCCACCCATCCCAATTACCAGCGCATGGGCTATGGCAAACGTGCTATCCAACTACTCAAGGACTACTATGCTCAGCGTCATGCCAATCTCGACGATGCGCCCCTGCCCAACAATCAAGGTGAGCAGGTCATCATCATCATCAGTTGAAGTAGGCATCTTCAACTGACTCCATGGAGTAATGTTTTTTTTTTTTTTTTATGATCGCAGCTGGCATCGAGGAGGTCGAGGAAGAGGAGATTGGTCTACTCAAAGAGCAGATACGACCACGCAGTCGCATTCCTACTCTGCTGCAACGTCTGCATGAGCGTCAACCGGAGCCGGTTGATTATATTGGTACCTCCTATGGCCTTACCGTTGATCTGCTCAAGTTCTGGAAGAGCGCCGGCTTTGTGCCCGTCTACCTCAGCCAGAAGGCCAATGAGCTGACCGCAGAGCACAGCTGCATCATGCTGCACACACTGGCGACTCCAAAGGCGACGCTCTGGCTAAGTCTCTACTACAATGACTTCCGACGACGTGTCCTCAAGCTGATGCGCACAACATTTCGCGAATTCGAAACAAAACTCTGTCTGGCTCTGCTCAAGAACAATGCGGTTAAGAGCGATGATGCTGATGATGCATCCACTGTGCTGGACAAGCGAACGCTTGATGAATACTTTCTGCCGCACGATCTGCAACGGCTGGAGAGCTATGCACGCCAACAGTCCGAGTTTCGTCTGATACTCGATCTGCTCACCGACATTGCTCAGCTATATTTCCAGGGTCGCATTCACGGCCTGAAGTTGGATAATGTGCAGAAGGCAGTTCTCCTGGCGCTCGGGGTACAGGGCAAGACCGTGGACGCACTCGGCTCGGAGCTGAACATGCCGGGCAACCAGCTGCTTGCCAAGTTTTACGATGCGTTAAAGAAGTGCAATCAATGCTTCCGCACGGTGATCGAGCAGCACATCGAAGATGGCATGCTGCAGGTGGAACAACTGCCGCATGGCGACCAACTCCAACCGCTCAGCTTATCCCTGGACAATGAGCTGGAGCAGACTGCCCAGAAACTAATGAAAAATCAACGCAAGGAACTGAAACGCCTCAAGGCCGAGATGCTCGATGAATACCAAATCAAGGGCAGCGAAGAGGATTGGAATCAGGCACTGCAGACCAATGGTGGCGACAAAGGCAGCGGTCTGCTCTCCGTCAAGAGGTAAGGTAGCTATCGCTTTCACTCTCTTTTGCTTGCTTATTTCAGAGTAGAAACGATTTTAATTGAGAAACTCGGCTCGTCATTTTCATTCCGAGTGACAAAATTAAACTAAATAAAAATATTTTTTTTTTACTTGCTATTAAGCTGAAGTTAATCAATTTATTTATTGTAGCGGCATTAAACGCTTGGATGCACATGTAGAGCAGGATCGGGATGCTGGTGCACCGCAGACCAAGAAAAAGAAGAATCCTAAAATGAAACGAGGCATGGGCAAATCGCTGATCTAGTTTTTTTTTTGGGCGGGCGGGGGTATTCATTTATATATATGTATATGTTATATATTTGTTTTTGAATAAAACGAAAAGTGAGAGTTTTGACATAGTAAATTTTATCCTTATTGGCCTTTGCTACCGCAGCGGCCACTTTGCGTTGATCGCACAAATCCTGAAAGCTGACGTTTATACCGTTTTTTTAAAGGGTGTTTTTCATTATTGATAACTTTTTTATCTGTAAAAAGTGCTATAGAATAAAAACCATTTCATACAAGTTCATATTCAATTATTAAGACAACGGACCGTTAAATTCGACTATCGAAAACTAAATTGATACATTAATGTTTCATGCGCATTATGCTTCAACTATCGATACATATCGCAATACAACACTTACCTACAAGCATTTGGCAGTGCAGCACAACAAAGGCAACTATAATCTGAAGTAAAACCTTTCCAAATCGCAATACAACGAAATAAAAATGGGGAAAAAAAACAGTAAGTACTAGCGGGTAGAAAACACAAAAAATAAATTGACAATTTCAACTTTTAATTGCAGAATATAAGAAAGATGAAAAAGAGGCTGCAGCTCCAAAGCCAGCCCCTCTACCGCAGCAGCAGGCTCAACCGCAGCAGCCTCAGCAGCAAAAACAACGGCAAAGTAAGTGTAAATGCATGTGTGCGTATTGCACTTGGTGTTATACCAAAATAACTGCACCAAGAATGGCCAAAAAGCCAAGCACACGTTTCGAATTACGGTTAGTTTACCTGTGTGCAGTTAGTTTACCTGTGTGATATGTATAAATAGTCGAGGAAGGGGAATCACCAAATTAGTAAAGTGTATTTCATCATCTTGTGCATAAGTTGTGTATGTGTTAATGTGCGTGTGTGTGTGCTGGAAAATTCTGGAAAGAAAAACACGATTCGCAATTTTTACCCATCAAATCATTTTATCTTGGTGATGTATTCAAATAAAATTTGAGTTTTTTATTTCGAAGTTTGCTATCAACTTGGTGCAACGGCCACGTCAAATAATAATTATACATTGCGAGCACAGATTACGACGTATTCAATTTGCCTATTGCAGCAGTGACTGCCGCAACAGCTCCGACGCCGTCTACAAGCGCTGCGGCTGCACAGGCGCAAGGACAAAGTGGCGGCACTGTCACCCCAGGACATCAGCAGAGTGGCCAGCCACAGCAAGGCAAACAGGGTGGTCAATATGGTGGACAACAGGGGGCAGGATATCAGCAGCAACAGCAGCAGCGTCAATCTGGCGGCCAACAGGGTGGCTATCAGCAGCGTGGTGGCGCTGGTGACGGACGTGGTCCCCCAGGATATCAGCAGGGTGGCCAGCCACAGCAAGGCAGACAGGGTGGTCAATCTGGCGGCCAACAGGGTGGCTATCAGCAGCGTGGTGGCGGTGCTGACGGACGTGGTCCCCCAGGATATCAGCAGGGTGGCCAGCCACAGCAAGGCAGACAGGGTGGTCAATATGGTGGACAACAGGGGGCAGGATATCAGCAGCAACAGCAGCAGCGTCAATCTGGCGGTCAACAGGGTGGCTATCAGCAGCGTGGTGGCGGTGCTGACGGACGTGGTCCCCCAGGATATCAGCAGGGTGGCCAGCCACAGCAAGGCAGACAGTATGGTGGACAACAGGGGGCAGGATATCAGCAGCAACAGCAGCAGCGTCAATCTGGCGGTCAACAGGGTGGCTATCAGCAGCGTGGTGGCGCTGGTGACGGACGTGGTCCCCCAGGATATCAGCAGGGTGGCCAGCCACAGCAAGGCAGACAGGGTGGTCAATATGGCGGCCAACAGGGCGGCTATCAGCAGCGTGGTGCTACACCGCAACAGGGTGGCGCCATGGTCTCGCCACTGCCACAGACGGGCACCATCAAGCGCGGCACAATTGGACGGCCCGGCACTGTTGGTGTCAACTACTTGACTGTGGACCTTTCCAAAATGCCAAAATTTGCATATCATTATGATGTGGACATAACTCCCGAACGCCCAAAGAAATTCTATCGCGATGCCTTCGAGGTGTTTCGCACAAAATATTTAAAGCAGAGTATTGCCGCCTTCGACGGAAGAAAGTCGTGTTATGCCTTGGACGACCTGCCCAGTGTCTCTGGCGAAGTGGAGGTAAGACTATTCCGTGTTTTTTTTTTTAAATTTTTTACACTGCTGCCGCTTTAATTGTTGTTTTCTTCTGCAGGTGGTGGATAGAAATGGTCGGACATTGAAGTACACAGTTACGCTGAAGAAAACCGATAACAGTGAAGTGGATCTCAGCTCACTGCACAGGTGAGAACTAATTACGCATTTCAATATATTATACTTAAATAATGCATTTTGTACGCATCCAGCTATATGAATGACAAAATCTATGATAAGCCCATGCGTGCCCTGCAATGTTTGGAGGTGGTGCTCGCTTCTTGCTGCCATCAGCGTTCCGTGCGTGCTGGCCGCTCCTTTTTTAAGACATCGGGTAACGCATGCTACAAACTGGACGACGGCTATGAGGCATTGGTTGGTCTATATCAGAGTCTTGTGCTGGGCGATAGGCCGTTCATCAATGTGGATGTTTCCCACAAGTCTTTCCCAATGGCAATGACTCTAATTGAGTATTTGGAGGAATATGGCCTAATGGAACCCCTTAGAGAAAATACAACTATACAATTCAACTCTCAGCGAAAAATAATACAATTCTTAAAGGGCATAAATGTGGTGTACGAGCCGCCGAAATCTTTTGGTAACGCACCTCGTACCTTTAGGGTGAACGGAATCTCACAAAATCCAGCGCGCAGCGAAAAGTTTAAGTGTGGTGAAGTTGTCATGACGGTGGAGGAATACTTTAAATCGCGTTCATACAAGTTAAAGTATCCGATGCTGCAGTGCCTCAGCGTTGGCCATCCAACAAACGTCCTTCTTTTGCCCATGGAGCTGTGTCGCATTGAGGAGGGACAGGCATTGAATGTGAGTAGGACTAGTACTATCAATCTCGATCGTATCATCTGAAATATATCATGGGCATTTATATAGCAATTATATATAATATCGTATTACATTTTTAACACACACATACACACAGCGAAAGGACGGCACGAATCAAGTTTCGAAAATGATTAGGTTTGCGGCAACAGCTACGCACGAACGCAAGGCTAAAATACTTGATTTGTTGAAATATTTCCAACACAATCTGGATCCGACAATTAGCCGTTTTGGTCTACGCATTGGCGATGATTTTATTACAGTAAATACACGCCTATTAATTGCACCACAAGTGGAATATAGGAATAGTAAGTTTGCAACACCAATGAATGGTTCCTGGCGTATGGATAGAAACCAATTTCTGACCCGCGGTCCAAAAGTTCACAAGTGGGCCATACTGCACTGTGAGGCCGCTCGCATGCAATACAACAAGATTATGGATTTGCAGAATATGGTAAATACTTTGCCATATTTTTTTAATATGCATCACATCTAAAATCATATCGTATTTGTATAGGTATTAAAACAAGCCAAGTTCGTCGATATTACACTGGAGCCCGCGGCTGAGATACGATCTTTTAAGGACGACAGGAATTTGGATATACCGTTCAATGATCTGAAGAAAAATAAATACGATCTGGTCTTTGTCATCATACCGTCGCGTGGCGGTGCCAGCTATGAAATGATCAAGCAAAGGGCCGAGCTGCATTGTGGCATATTGACGCAGTGCATCAAGCAAAACAATGTTGAACGCCGACTGGATGACCAATTAGTTGGCAATCTTTTATTGAAGGTCAATTCGAAGCTCAATGGCATCAATCATAAGATTAAGGATGATGTACGCATCAAGCTACCGAATGTCATGTATTTGGGTGCGGATGTGACACATCCCTCGCCCGATCAGCGCGATATACCCAGCGTTGTGGGCGTGGCCGCATCACACGATTTATACGGCGGCTCCTACAACATGCAGTTCAGGATGCAAAGCAACAGCGGTGGTCGTCCCCGTGAGGAAATCGATGACATGCAGTCCATTGCGTCCGAAAATTTGCGCGTCTATTTTCAGAAGCAAGGCCGCTATCCGGATCACATCATTTACTATCGGGATGGCGTTAGCGATGGACAATTTTTAAAAATCAAAAATATAGAACTGAGGGGCATTTATGCAGCTTGCGAAAAAGTGAGACAGACACGCAGCAATATTCTTCTAATAACAATACTATTGACTATTTTCGTTAATAATTATTTTACAGGTTCGCATTAAGCCAAAGATGTGCTGTGTGATTGTGGTGAAGCGTCATCACACTCGATTCTTTCCGTTGGGCACGCCGCATCCTAGAAATAGATACAATAATGTTGAACCAGGTACAGTTGTGGATCGCGTCATTGTGCATCCGAATGAGGTGCAATTCTTTATGGTTAGCCATCAGTCCATACAAGGCACCGCTAAGCCCACACGCTACAATGTCGTTGAGAACACTGGCAATCTGGATATTGATCTGTTGCAACAATTGACTTACAATTTATGTCACATGTTTCCACGATGCAACCGGTCTGTATCTTATCCGGCTCCGGCATACTTGGCACACTTGGCTGCCGCGCGTGGACGTGTTTATATCACTGGGTAAGCATCATACATAGTTCGACAGCAATTGGAGTAATTGTAATTGATTGTATTTTTCTTCTTTTTTTTTTAGATCTAATAGGCCAAATCAATCGCCGGTGATTAATGCGGAGTTCATGAAAACTAATCCCATGTACTTTGTTTAGAAATGTGTTAATATTGACATTTCTTTAAACGTTTTTTCTACAGCTAAGTTGCCCATCTGAACGCATTGCCTTCTTTGATTTTTTTTATTTTATCACATTTTTTAAACTATATATATATATATTAAACAATCATGCAAATTCCCAGCTGCATCTCTACGCACAGCTCTGAGTTGAGAGTTCAGAAATGTAATTTGCTCAGAAAGTGTGTATAGAACCAACTGAGATCGCTTATTATTATTATTATAATGGGAATTAATATGTTATTGAACAATTAAATTGATAATTATAAAATAAAGCAACTGCGCTAAATTTGCTTGTGTCGCATTTATGTATGCCAGTTGGTGTAATCGCTTACATCGCATCGAAATGGAATCTGTGCGACTCTTGCAAACGCTCCTGCCTATCCTCGCGTTTCTCCTTAATGTAGAGCACCAATATGATGAGCACAATCACCAGGCAAGTGCCACCCAAGGCCACAACACTCATTAGAATCAGTTTGCTGGGCGTGACAAAGAGCAACGCCTTCCAGTGCTGCGAATCATCGAGCGGCTTGGGCACAACTATGATCTGAGAGTTGGGTATTAGCTGTGTCCAGTTGTGAAATTTGCCATACAGCCCCACCACCAATTGATCCACAAAATTGGGGGTGCGACCGAGGCCAAAGCATGTGTATGGCAACTGGAGTGCAAAATAGGATGATTGCGGCAATTGGACACTGCTGCCAATTTGCTGATCACCATCCTGTGTGGTTGTGATGTACGTAATAATCGGACCAGGCAAATTGCTGCCATATGTGCGCTTCTTACGGCCAAGCGTTGTGCGCGATGTGGGATTCTGTGGATTCACCAGACCTGTTAGCACAATTACCTTCACAAAATTGGCATCATAATCGAGAGTATTGCGAAATGCAAGTGGACGATAATTTCCATTCGCTTGTTTCTCCATCAGTATCACATCCAAGACACCATCCTGGTAAAAGTCATAGAATGCACCAGCGACTGTATTATTACCCATGGGCCACAAAGCATTCCAGCGCACCTCAAAGGTGCGTTTGAATTTCTTACTGCACGTCTTGCACGCCACATTCTCCAACAGAAACGTCTGCATTATCGGCTTTGAAACGCTCAACGGTTGCAGGGTGACCAGCAAATCTGGATAGCCATCCAAATTGAAGTCGCCCATACGCGCAGTAATTGTCTTCAAGTAGACATCATTGGGGTTGGGCGGCACAAATGCCCATGTGACGCCTTGTGGATCCTTAAAGTTGACATGCACATCATAAAACATGTTGCCATCATGCACAAGTATTGTCGAGTTTTTGCAATTTTCCTGCACGCAAAACGGCACCACAATATTTTGTACGCCGCGCAACTCGAAGTCCATAAAGATGGCCTGACCGACTACGTAACCGTTGCTACCCACCAGCTCGTAGGTTATGGTGTGCTGATAGCTAAAGTTCTCGCCGTCGGGCTCATTGACGCCATACCAAATCTCGTACCCGGTTTTGGTTTGCAAAAACAGATCGGCCAGATAATCGCCATTCAAATCCAAATACGCATTCGCATTGGGTATGGTCAGAGTTTGCGTGTTGCCACCAGTGGGCATTGCCTGGTGCACGGCCTGTGGGGGCTCACGTTTGTTATTGAATATCCAGAAGCATCGCGTATCATTTGTTTCATTCAGTCCATACAAATCGATGATCATGTCGCGGTTAAAATCGAGGGCCATTGCTTCGCCTTTCGTTTGGATGACTGGCTCCTTGGCGCAACTCAGCGTGGTGGTATTGCCCCAGTTTATGTAAACGTCATATATACCATTGCTCTTCTCCACATTGACCAGGACATCCATCAGCGCATCGCCATCAAAGTCACCGGGTATTACACTGACAATCCTTCTAGAACCAAAGTAACAGTTAGGACCAGGTCGCAGCAGTGGTTCCGTATCAAAGCCTGTTTATTTAAAATACATCTTTTAGTAATATTCAGATAAAGTAGCCACGCAACAGAAACGAATGTGGGTCGTGCACAATATAACAAGTGATTGGGATTTCTGGGAATCGAAATGCTGGAAATATTCATACTACTCATACTTTTGAATCTTTAAATAATAAAATAAAATAACGTAAGCAAATTTAGCAGTATCATAAATTATGAATTAAAAAAAATAAATCAACTTGAATGCTTGACTTGTGTTTAGAATATCAGCAATTAGTTTTTATCTATAATTCCGCCAGAGCTTCAGACAGATACATTTACTTTGTTGGCAAAGTGGGAAACGCTTTCATCTTTTAGTGAATTGACCGAAGTGACTGATCCTCATATCTGCTTGAATAGTTTAGGTTGTATACGCACCAAATAGTATTTGTAGCATTTTTCTGTCGTCCTGAATGACGAATACGTCCGTAAGTTCATCGGAGTTAAAGTCACCAAAAGCTGCCACTACTCCTTCCTTAATATCACCAAATACAATATTTGTGATATTACTGGATTGGGCAACGGCTACGTAGAGCAGCACCAGCAGCAGCAAGGCGGAATGCATTTCGCTGGTTGTTGACTAAATTTGCACTAAGGAATTGAGTTTACTTTGTCTTCTTATTATTTTTGTTGTCGCTTCACAAAAAATCAATACTGAGTCAGATGTGAATTATCGATAACAATTGAGAGTTACCACCTGCGGTGGTAACAAATCGTTTCGAAAGAATCGATATCTAAGGCAGCTCTGTGTGTCGACGGTCGGAACAACAACGCAGAGAAAACTCTGCAAAATAATAACTAAATAGAACCAACTACGCATACAAATAAATAAATCATGGTTAGTAAAAGGACATAATGCATCATGTATTTATGTGTGATTTCCGCCAGATGAGTGTGTAGTGATGTGTGTGTGTTTGTTTTGCTTGCTGCTGCTTCTTCCTGCATACAAGCGCCAGCGCACGCACAAATTGTTGTTGTAGTTGGTGTATTTATGCAATTCGCATTCACGATAACTAAATCTGTGCCTGTATTGCATATATATTATGTTGGCCATATTAACTAATGTTGTTTATTTTTACAGAACAAACTGAAGTCAAGTCAACACCGTGATAAAGTGAAAAAATTCATCTCGCTAACACAAACTGGCGAACAGACAGCCATTTTCTGCCTGCAACAGAATGATTGGAAAATGGACTTGGCCAGCGATAACTATTTTCAGAATCCCGAATACTATTATCGAGAGCTAGATCGTAAGCGTATCGAGCAATTATTTATGCGCTATCGTGATCCAAGCGATGCTCTAAAGATCAGCTCACAGGGCGTCATCCGGTTCCTCGAGGATCTGGAGCTGAGTCCGGACTCCAAACTTGTGCTCATAATTGCCTGGAAATTTCACGCTGAGGTGCAGTGTGAATTCTCGCGCGATGAGTTTATCAATGGCATGTGCGATTTGGGCACGGATAGCATAGAGAAGCTGAAGTCGAAGTTGCCGTTGCTGGAACAGGAATTGAATGATGCGGGCAAGTTTAAGGATTTCTATCACTTCACCTTCAACTATGCAAAGGATCCGGGCCAAAAGGGCATTGATTTGGACATGGCCATTGCATATTGGTGCATTGTGCTCAGTGATCGTTTCAAATTCTTGGACATTTGGTGCAAGTTCCTCGAAGAGAAACACAAGCGTGCGATTTCAAGGGACACTTGGAATCTGCTGCTAGATTTTGCCACCAATATCGATGATCGGATGAGCAACTATGACTCAGAGGGTGCTTGGCCCGTGCTGATTGATGATTTTGTCGAGTGGTGCCAAGAAAATAATCATCTTGCCACAGATCAGCAGCAACAACACACGCAGCAATCAACGTCCCAGAAGAACATATCGAACGCTTACCAGACCTCGCATAGTACAAACATGAATTATGGCTAACGATTGTTGCGCTTTATACATATATATTCTCATTAATGATTAATTATGCTTTTTATTCGGATTATTTTAAATAATCATGATAATAAGCAATGCAAATTAATTTACATTTCTCTATAAAAACAAAAAAAAAAAACATAACGTAATAAATAAAATTAGTAAATGTAACCAACAGTTTTACTGGCACCTCTTGCAAATATATAAATTTGTTTGCCAGTGGCTTAGTCGATATAAAATAAGCGATACATCGCAGAGATTATTATCGATTTATATTAGGTTTATCATCCCCAACTTGGAGTGTGTGAAGTGTGACCGTAGCATATAAAAGCCAATTGATATTGTTACAACGATTTTTCGTCGCTCTGGTTGCTTATTAGAAGCTATACTTATTAAATTGCTAAATATATTTGTGCGTGCGGCGCACGTGCATGTGCGAGGTGTTTTGCATGCGTAGATCATGTGTTGTGAAAATAATTCAAAGTGCATCTACGGTGTGTAACAATCAATTGTTGCCCCACACTCTCCGTGCAAGTGTGAGTGTGACCAAGAGTGCGTGTCTGTGCGTTTGTGTGCGTACAAGGCAATCAGTGGGCGGCCGCCCATAAGGAGTCTACCCACTGCCATCACACACACATCACAAAACCCGTGTGTTTGCAGCACAATAATAAGAATGTATTTGCCTTCTTTCTAAGGTGTGGAGCAGTCGGTGCTGAATGACAAATGTATGTGTCACTGTTGATTTTGTTGTTGTTGCTGCTTGTGATCACAATTATCTAGATTCCTTTTTCATTTCGCATTAAATCCTTCAAATAGACACCTCTCCTCCCTCTAACACACTGCCCTTGAGCTTAAACAACCATTTGGCAAATAATAAAACAAATTAAATTATCATGCGAACAAAATTTAAACAAATACACAGACACACATACACACGCGAAAATAAAACACACACACAAAGAGGCACAGTTATACATACATGTGTAAATAGGTGCCACTAAGCGTATATAAATAAAATGAAAACAAACTCAACACTTAACTGATAACCGCAGACCAGACGTCGACGGCGACGTCGTGACTACGACAACTAGCGACTCACGACGATTGCACCTTTTCTGTATACCCTTTTTACGTAAATACATACACACATACCTATATACATCCATTCATGCATACGAACGCAAGTCTCCTTGTCATTCTTACACAGGGTGTCGCTTTTTATAATTTTGATAATTATGTTTATAATGTTATCATAGCAATCGACATTTTCAACCCTTAAGTGATATTCACACAATTATTTTTTATTACTATTATTACACTTTTTTTATACTCTTGCAGAGGATATAATAATTTTGTCGTTAGATGTGCACGAATGAAAGGAGACGTCGACGAACCCGTATATTTATATATTCTTGATGAGCATCACTAGCCGACTCGATATAGCCATGTCCGTCTGTGTGTCTGTACTCATTTTTTGATTAAGTTGAAACTCGCCACGTATAGTCTTATTGCTTCACAAAGGGCGTCGATGCGTACCGGACCCACTATATCATACAGAAGCCATAGGAACAATCTTTGGAAAGATTTAGTTGGTAGGATCGAGATAGGCGTGGACACAAATTAAACGTTTCTGACACAATATATCTACAGAAATGTTAAATACTCAATTCATAGCTAGACAACTTTTAGAAACAATGTTTCGAATACCGGACTAATATTTAGATGTCAAGATTATTTAATCTTGGGAGTATTTAAGATAGCTGTTATTTTTTGTTTTTAATTTTTATTCTGCGCCTAGCGTTGTTTATTAATCAGTAATTAATTTTACTTCATTTCCATTTCCTAAAATATACCTAGTAAGCTGAAGTTTAAGTAATTGTAAAAATAGCTCAATTTGGACATTAACTTAAAAGTTCCTTCTAAGCTGGAAGGCCGTTTAGTATATTTCTTTTTATAAACTTCTCGTTTAAGATCTGTTGAAATTCGTTTTTGTTTTTTATTTGATATTGGTTATTGTTGAGTTTAATAAACTAGAGAAACGGATAAATAATTAACGACACGACTTCTTAACTCGCACATGTTAATTTTGCGAGTCAATAAAGTTAAAAATATCCAATGTGTGCGAAGACTTTGTACGCCTACTGTATATAAATTATATATGTATATATATACATATGTACGATATTTGTGATCACTCTTTCGGCAGCTGAACTATTTAATAATATAGGTGTGTGCCATATTTATAATGAAATTTCCACTGACGTGTGTGAAAATGGAAATTCAAGAAAAAGTATCGTTTAGTATTTGTTATCTGTGTGCCTTTGATGTGTGTGGATTTGTCTGGGTTTGATTTAATAATCAATTGCCAGTGTCTGGGGACATTTTCAGAGTTATTGTCGGCGGCATGCTAATTATTGTTTTCGGTTATTTTGCAGCAGCAATTGCAGCAGTCGCCATGACAGAAAGCATCAAAAGCAATAAATTTAACAGCAGCATGTAAGTGTCTTAATTGCAAGGATCTAGCAAATCAACGACAACAACATGAGTCGTCAGGAGACAACGTCGCCAGGAGCGACATCGACATCGACAGCAACATCAACAGCAACATCAGCAAAAGCAACATCAGCGACAGCAACATCTACAACAACAGCAGCAGCAGCAGCGAGCATAGCATGCGGCAAAATTTCAACATCAACTCCACAAAAACAGGATGAACAACAACAGCAGCAGGAGTTCATCAATCGCAGCATGGCCAGCGAAATTGATGATGCCAGCGATGCCAGCGCCATGTGTGACATGTCCATCAATAGCAGCAGCTGCAGCGGCGCCAGTCCAGTGGCCAAGCGGCAATTGAGCTCGGCTACTCAGTCACGCATTCGTCCACAGTCCAGTTACTCGGCCCGTGTGCTCATCTTTGATGATTCCGATCAGGAGGCAGCTGCAGCTGCAGCAGCTGCCGCAGCCGCTGCCGCTGCCGCTGCTACTGCTGCAACTGCAACTCAAATAGCAGCGGGTTCGCTCAATGCAAGCGGCGCTGATGTTAGCAGCGGCGTTGAACTTTTGCCCGTATCGCCGGCCAAGCTGGCCAACGATAATCATAACAACAGCAATAGCAATCATGGCTCATCATCGTTAATGCGCAATCTCAATCTGACCAAGAGCTCATCGGGCGGGTTATCGGGCAGTGCCAGTTCTCTGCATTCGCGTGGCTATACGGCGCTGCTGCGGAAGATCTCCTATCAGCAGCACACGAACTCTATGCGTGCCGTCAGCAGTGGTGAGTCTTATACGGATTCTGGTTATTCATTCCAATTGTTCAAATGACTAACTTTTGTTATTCGTAGAAGCATCCAATTTGCTACGCATGCGTCACTCGTCGCTGGGCAAGTCAGCGCCCTGCCTGACCGGCAACTATTTTCGTCATGAGCTGTTTAGTGCGCCAGCACAACAAGCAGTGGGAGGATGCACCGCAGCGAATGTACCGTCGATGGCCTCAGCTGGCCTCAATATCTCTCGTTCCGGCAGTGGCATTGCTCTCTCAAAGCATCATCATCTTCATGGGGTGGTTATGCGTGGTGCGGCTGGTGCTTCGGGTGCTGGTGGTGGTGCTGGCTCCAGTGGCGTCGCCCATCATCGCCTCAGCCTGGTGACGAATGCAGCGGCCGTAGCTGGTGGGTCACGTGCACATTCACCGTATTCGGCCAGTCCGGCGGACAGTCCACGTCTCAATTCGCCCATGCCGTTTGCTTTTGCGCCGATTAAACGCATCGCCTCGTGTCGAGGCGTTGTCGACGGCAGACGCTGGTCGGTGGCATCGTTGCCCTCTTCGGGCTACGGCACCACACCAGGCAGCTCCAACCTATCCGTAAGCATTTATATCCGATTGCAACTAGTTTAGCTTAACTTCCATTTTGCTTTTGGCATACAGTCGCAATGCTCCAGTCAGGAGGGACTTAATCATTTGGCGCACAACATTCCACATGGTCAGGAGGATGCGGCCGCTGTTGCCGCTGGCGCCTGTTGTGCGGAGCACTTCAAGCAGCATTGTCCAAAACACTGTGCCCTATTGCTGGCCGCGCACAAGCCACCACCACAACAACAACAACAACAGCAGCAGCAGCATGCACCAAAGCTGGGACAGCTGCAGCAGCCACAGCCACTGAAACCACCGATCGCTTGCGTTAATTGCTGTGTCGATCTAAGCGTCGCCTGCAGTGGCAATGGCAATGGCAACGGCAATGCCAGCAGCGCAAATGCATCAAATGCATCGATGTCGTCAATGCCGGGCAGCGCCGGCGGTCGCATGTCGCCCTATTTTCGTCCACGCTCTCGGTCGCTATCCAGCCCATCGCGTTCACCCATTGTGGACAATGAGATTGCCGTAATGAATACGCTGTACAAGGAACGCTTTCCCAAAGCCACACAGCAAATGGAGGAGCGCTTGAAGCACTTCATCAATGAGAATAAAAGCGCCGCTTGTAGCAGTTTTCGTGATTCACAGCCCATTGTACGGTAAGTGCGGATAATCTCTTTTTAAATGCATAAATATTTGTAATAGAAGGAACTATGTATCTGTATTATATATCGTGAATATTACTTTTAATAATCAATTCAGCTTATGGACAATTTAGAATTAAAAGATGAATTTCTTGCCTTGCAGCTTTGTGCATCATCAAGTGCTGGAAATGGCGCGAGATTGTCTGCATAAGTCGGAGGCCAAGCTGATAACCTCCCAGTACTTCTATGAGTTGAGCGAGAATTTGGAGCGTCTGCTGCTGGAGACCAAGGAGAAATCACCGGAGGCTGCTGCTGAGCTGAGCGGCGTGATTAAGAAGCTGTTATTAATCATATCGCGACCGGCACGTTTGCTGGAGTGCCTTGAATTCGATCCGCAGGAATTCTATGAACTGCTTGAAGCAGCCGAAGGACATGCCAAGGCAATGCCAGTGATTAAGGCGGATATACCGCAGTATATCATACACAAGTTGGGGCTGAATCGTGATCCCATTGCTGAGATGCAGCAGGAGCAGCGTGAGACGCAGCAAATTTGCGAGGAGCATGTGACTGGCATTGATAGGCAGTTTGAAACGCAATCGGGTGCAATACTATTGAATTCACCGCTCAATTGTGCGGCCAAGCAATTGAGCAGCCTAACGCTGGATGCAATCCCACTGGATCCGGGCCATTCGGGTGGCAGTGGCAGCTGTACGCCACAACCCATGTTGCCACAACAGCCGCCACAAACGCCGGTGGCTTGTGATGCCCAATCGACGCCCACATTTGCCTTGGCCATAAGCCAACTCAACACACCAGCGGAGACAGCTGCAACGCAACAACAACAGCAACAACAACAACAACAACAACAGCAGCAGCAACAACAGCAACTGCTGCCAAAGGAAAATGACTTTGACATTGCCAAGCTGATCTCAAATGGCGCCTACGGCGCCGTCTATCTGGTGAAGCACAAGACGACCCGCCAGCGCTTCGCAATGAAGAAGATCAACAAGAACAATCTCATATTGCGTAATCAGGTGGAGCAGGTGTTCGCCGAGCGGGACATACTGTCGTTTGCCGACAATCCATTTGTGGTCAGCATGTATTGCTCCTTTGAGACAAAGAAGCATCTGTGTTTGGTCATGGAGTATGTGGAGGGCGGTGATTGCGGCACACTGCTCAAGAACATTGGACCGCTGCCCGCCGATATGGCTCGCTTCTATTTCGCCGAAACAGTATTAGCCGTGGAGTATCTGCATAGCTATGGCATCGTCCATCGCGATCTCAAGCCGGATAATTTGTTAATCACGGCGCTGGGTCATATTAAACTCACCGATTTTGGCCTCTCCAAAATGGGTCTGATGTCGTTGGCCACCAATTTATATGAGGCTACATCGATTCGGAGACGCGGCAGTTTTCCGATAAACAGGTAATTTCTGCTAAGTGCAATCGAAGCATTCAAGTATATATTATGTATCTATCCACAGGTCTATGGCACTCCCGAGTATATAGCGCCTGAGGTGATTTTGCGGCAGGGTTATGGCAAACCCGTTGACTGGTGGTCCATGGGCATCATATTGTACGAGTTTCTCATTGGATGTGTGCCATTCTTTGGCGAGACGGCCGAGGAGCTGTTTGCCCATACTGTCAACGATGACATTGAGTGGCCCGACAGCGAGGATTGGCCCGTGCAGTCGGAGGCCAAGGACATTATAACACAGCTGCTGCAGCAGAATCCACGTGATCGTCTAGGCACTCAGACCGGCGCCTTGGAGGTGAAGGAGCACGTCTACTTTGATGGCATGGACTGGAATTCGTTGTTGCGCCAGAAGGCCGAATTTGTGCCGCAGTTGTCCCACGAGGATGATACCAGCTATTTTGACAGTGAGTTTTTCCCTGCGTTGTGCACTCCAAATCATATTTTATTATTTACATGTGTGTTTTACAGCCCGCATGGATCGGTACAACCACGATCTGGGTGGTGAGGATACGGATGACACGGATGATACGCCCGTCTTTGGTAGCTTCAATTCCTACACGCCGCAATATCGCAAACAACATTATAGCTGGTCACGGCATGCCACAGCGACGACAACGGACAGCGTCAGGGGAACAACGACCACAATGACAACATTGCCTTCGCGTGCCCAGGAATCGACCACAGCGACATTGATGGCAACGGGCGCAATGCCGAAACTCAAGAGTCAAGAGGGCGTAGTCAATAAGTTTTTGAATACACCACAGCTGCGCAAGCTGGATGTGAGTATTAAATGCGTAAGCAATGAATTTCAACATTTTGTGTCTGTTCTTGATACAGAGTTTAACTAGCTTTGAAAGGAATCGGTTCATCATATGTGTGTGGCGTTTTTATTTGTAAACAAACCATATCTAATATAATTGCAGCTTTCATCCAGCTGCCTGAAGGTTCCCTCCACGCCGGACACGGAATTTCTACCGGAACTGTTGCACAACGTGACCATTGGCAACGATGCCGAGCTGCGCATGCTTAAGCATTATTTGCAACAGCCAACGCCGGCGGCGGTCCGCTTGCAGCAGCGTCACAGCATGCCACCGAACACGACGACGATCATTAGCACGCCGGCAACACCGCCGCCACCACCGACACAGTCGTCTACAGCGACACCGCAACCGACAAGCGTGAGCAGTTTCTCGCGCAGCACACCAGAGAGTTCGCAGACGGACAGCGATGATTTCTCGCCACAGATAAATCGCAAGCGTAAAGGCGTTTGTGCCCGTGACATATTGCCGCGCTTCTCTATCTCCATTGAGGATGAGACGATCAGTGCCTGCAGCTCATCCACAGAAAACATGAACTTACGCGAACAGTCGCCGCTGGCGCTGCAGCATCAGCCCAAGTCCATGGACAGCAGCAGCGGACCAACATCGTTCAAGCATCATCGGTCGCGTTCAATTGTCAAATCTGCCTCGGCGCTGGGACTGTCGCTGATGTCATCACTGGATAACACACAATTGGCGGCACAGCTCTGCGGTGGCATTCAATCGCCGGGCAGCGCTGGCGGTGGCAATGGCTCCAGTACAGCCAGTTCAAGGGATACATCGCCCTGTCGCGAACTCTCGCCGCTGGTCACCAATCTCAAGCCGCCGATAATCATACGCCGTGGACCCCGTGGCTTTGGCTTCACCGTTCACACTATACGCGTCTATTATGGCGACACAGATTTCTATACCATGCACCATTTGGTCATGGCCGTTGATGAGGGCAGTCCCGCATTTGAGGCGGGCCTGCGGCCGGCCGATCTGATCACCCATGTGAACGGAGAGGCTGTCCAAGGATTGTACCACACACAGGTGCTACAGCTGTTGCTCAGCGGTGGCGAGCATGTTACGCTGCGTGCAACGCCGCTGGAGCACACCAGCATTCAAAGCGGTGGCCGCAAGCGGGACCTCATGCAGAGCAAGCTGGCCAAGAAGGGCGTCAATCGCCAGAAGAAGCAAACGAAGCGGGAACACGACAAGAAGCGGAAAACTTCTCTATTCCGACGCATAAGCAGCAAACGTGCCAATGCCGAGATGCAACAGGTGAGCGGATAATAATGTTTGACTTGTTTTACGGATACACATTTATGATGGTATTTTGTTATGTTTAAATTGCAATCTAGTACTCGGCGGGCACTAGTTCACCCACCACGCCATCGGCACGCAATCTGTCGCCGCTGGACTCTTCGTATCATAGCAGCAGTTGTTATCAATCGGCGGCCAACTCCTCATCGCAATCCACTTCGCCATCATCGTCGTCACCCAACACGCCAACCGGTTCCAGTGGTGGCAGTAATGGTGCCGGCAATGGTGGCAATGCTGCAACTAATTCCATTGTCGCAGCACCCGTCGCTGCTTTGAGCGCACAACTGCCGATCCCGCCGGCAAGTCCAGTTGTGTTGCTGCCGCATGTGGGCGCTGTTGTGGGCAGCAGTGCCACATCTGTGGGCAATGTGCCAGGTGCGCTTTTGAACAGAGCCTAACTTGATTTTGATATACTTATGCATTTTGTATTTAGTTTCGCCCACTGGTGTTGTGCCTCAGCTGTATCAGCGTCCCTCGACCCTGCATGGTCTGAAGCACAAGCTGCATGCAGCTGCCACTGGTGCTGGTGGATCCGCAGCTAGCGGCAACACGGCTGGGGGTCTAAAAACACTGCACACGTCGAGCAGCAATGCACTGCCCAATCGCCGCAAATCTGTGGGTCATATACCGTTATCACCGTTAGCACGAACCCCGTCTCCATCGCCGCTGCCATCGTCGCCCACACGCTCGCCATCTCCTCTAGCCTTTCCGCTGGTGGGCCATCAGCCTGGCGCCTCCAATACGACACAGTCGTACAGTCCGGGAAGCACTCTGCCCACGCTGCAGACGGTGGTGAGTGCCAGCAGCAAGAAGGCTGGCTTTGCACGCACCAAATCCGCAGAGCCAAGTTCGCCGCTATTGCGTCGCGCCCTGTCGCCGGATCGACTGCATCCGCGCAGCGCCGAGACAAAAATATCTCCGCTGTGCTGCTCGCCGCCGATCAAACAGCAGACACCACATCATCAGCATCCGCGCGTTGTTGCCGGCACTTGGCGACCAAGTGCGGGCGGATCTGGTGGAGCTTGTGCTACACAACAGCAGCAGCAACAGCAACAGCAGCAGCAGCAACAGCAACAACAACAACAGCAACAGCAGCTGGGCAACAGCAGCACATTGGAGGAATCTCAAAGGCAAACGAGCTCTTCTGCAACTGCAACAGCAGCAGTAGTAGTAATACCTGGAGTAGTTGCATCAACATCATCCGCAGCTGTTGATAATCAAGCAACGAATAATGTAGCCATTGCCAGCAGTTGTGAGCTGTTGCCACGAATTGCTGAAGAGAAGGATTCGCCCACAAGCACACTGGATAGCAGCAGCAGCGTGTCGGAGGGCTTTATGCCGGCTATTGAGGAACATGTTGAGGGCGAATCATCATCATCATCGCCCACTCAAACGCTGGAGAAGCCATCGCCCAAAGCAGAGCAGCCGCCAGACAAGGCAAAAAATCGTGTCGAATCGGGTAGGTGTTGATCATATCCAATTAATTGATATGTATTTCATATTTATGATTTTCAATTGCAGCCAAAGCAAATGCGTCCAGAAAATCTTCGATTACAACGACAAGGCCAGCAAGCGCTGGTGTTATCCCATTTGCCATGGGACGCAAAGAGCCGAATGCCACAACAACAACAGCAACAGCCACATCTGTAACAGCAACTGTAGCTGGAACAGCAACTACAACAACAACAACAACAGCAAACAGCGCAACTTTGGCTGCCAAGCAAAAAAAGTAGCGCCACGAAACTGGATGTTTGTGTTTTAAATTTCATGTTTAGCGTTTTATCTAAATGTTCAGCGTTAATATTAACAATCCAAAACCGAAGCAACCGGAAGATAATGGAAGTTAGCCGCAGGAATTTGATAATTGTATTCAAGGGATTGTTTTACAAATAAGCTTATTTGCATTCTTTGGGCAAAAACCTAACCAAAATTAGCAAAGAAAATGAATTAGAAAATTGTGGAAACTAGTAGTTTGTAGTCTCGTATCTAACAAATATGCCTAATACAATTTGTAAATTAGTAAAACAAAAAACGACAACAAAAAAACAAAAACAAAACGTGCGAAATATATTCCAGTTAAAAGCAGAAAGCACTAGGAATGTGTGAATGTCGGCAGCAAGCAATGATGAATATTGTATTTGTATATATAAATGTATAACATTGGTAGAATTAACGTTTATTAAGAAGAACGGAAACGTCCGAAAAATTTAAACGCGTTGAGATGGTAATAGTCGAGTAAGGTCAAGCTAAAAGTACGTACACACAAAAAAAAAACAACAAAGCTGCTTGCTCAGTCAAATATTAAAGCGTTTTTTGCGAATCTATAATCTATGCCGAACTCAATATATATTATATTAAATAAATGTTATATGTGTGTGTATTCAATGTTGTTTATTTATCAATTTGAAATTGTCAACTTTTGACCACCACAATGCCAAGAGTATGTACAGTTTGGCCACACTGCTTTCGATAGGTGTGCAAATGCAATGCATGACGATAACATATGTATCGATAACACTTTGCCAGCTGTGCAGTTTGTACGCAGGTATTTTAATTTCACGCCTAGATTTTCGTAAAGATGCTTCCCAAGTTAAGAATATCTGCATTTCTGCTTAAGGTGAGCACTGCACACTGTATTTTAAGACTTGCTTTGCAATTTGTCAAAATCATTGCAGCGCCTCGAGCGTGTCAAGCTGCAGTGCAGCGGTTGTTTATATGGCGTGTTCTATGGCGATGGCACATTGTTGCTCTTGAGTTTCAACGTTGAGGCGAGTGTGGGCCAATTGAACTATGAGCACATACAGCACAAATTTCCAGCCGAACTGGATCTGTGTGGCTTGGTGAAATTTGGCGAGTGTAGCGATACCCAAGCCCATCTAAATGAGGTCATTTCATCGGTGGATATAACAGATAACCCGATATTGCTGCAATGCCAGCTGGGAACATTGGTGGGCATGAAGGCATCGTTCTTTATGCACGGCAAACTAGAGGATGTACCGTACGAGGTGATGGAAGCATCACAGCTCTACAACGATTTCTGTTTTACACGATTAAAGTGCGGATTCTTTTTGTATACCGCACCGACACCGGAAGCCATTGCCAAGGAGATGCATGCGCTACGCAAGCGTGTCGCTGATGGCAGTCTGGTGTTCAATGTGTCCGAAACGAAGATCTATGTCAGCAGCAACTTTGGGACGCAGCACAAAAGTTTAAATTGCGATTCGCGCATTGAGCAGCTCATCGCTGAAATTCCGACACCAGAAGACACTCCAAGTGGCAACAATAAGAAGAAGGTCACAGCGACTGCCTCGGAGCTGGTTAAGCATTACGGTGCTGTGGGCTGTGACTACGATGTGATTAATATTGACGTTTTGCGCTGTCGTTCGCGTGAGCCACCTGCTGGCGATGCTGCACCGCATCCAGCGCTCAGTGTTTGCATCACTAATGAAGAGACCAGCAAGCAGCAGGTGCCGCTGGAACTGGAGGCAATGGCCATACTCTGCAAGAAGACAAAGCTTTTGCGGTTGTATGATGTGCTCATCGAGAGCATTTGTCGCTCGTTGCGTCTCTTCGAGCAGTGCCTCAGCGAGCGCCTCAACGAACAGGAGCCGACATCGGAGCTGAAATTGCTGGCGCCACGCAGTTATCATTTCTATCCGCAGGAATTCGGACACTTTCTGAGCTGTGCCTACTTGGAGCAGCTGAGCGACGATGAGCCCAGTGTGCAGGAGAAACGCAAGCGATTGCATCGACAATTTGCATTGCCCGTTACACGTCCGTACTTCCGGCGTGCCAATCAGTGTCGCTTCCAGTGCGACATTGATGCTTCTGATGCATCTACGTGGACGCCGCTGCTTAACACACATTTGGGTGTACGTCCCAGTGGCGTGATCGATGGCAAGGAATATCTGGTAAATGGAAACTATCACTATTACCACTATTTGCAGCAGCAGATGCAGGACAAGGGCTGGGGCTGTGCCTATCGCTCGTTGCAGACGATTTGCTCGTGGTTTCTGCTGCAGGGCTACACGGAGCGTGCGATACCCACGCATTTGGAAATTCAGGAATATTTGCACAAAATCAACGATAAGCCAGCCTCATTTGTGGGCTCCTCACAATGGATTGGCTCCACGGAGCTGAGCATGTGTCTGCAGGGTTTTCTCAATGTGGACTCGAAGATCCAACATGTCGCCTCGGGTGGCGAACTCTCAACCATTGCCTCGGAACTGGCGATGCATTTCCAAACCCAGGGCACTCCCGTCATGATTGGAGGCGGCGTCCTAGCGCACACAATTATTGGAGTTGACTACTGTGTGCAGACGGGGCAGGCAAAGTTCTTGATACTCGATCCACATTACACTGGCGCCGATGATTTGGCCACAATTCAGATAAAGGGCTGGTGCGGGTGGAAGGGCATGGACTTTTGGGACAAGAAGAGCTACTATAATCTCTGTATGCCACAGCGCCCGATTTTATACTGAACTTTCCAATGTTTTGCATTTAAGTACGATTCATTTCTGTCAAGCTTTAATGTTGCATGTTTCTGTATGAATTTAATATTATATATGTACTGTATTTTATATATGTTAAAAATAACGCGTATAAACTAGAGCAATCGGTTTGTATTGGAGTGTGTTCTCATTTAATTTCATTTCATTCAAATTTAAACAGACGGCTATTTACTATATATGCGATATGCAAATTAGTTTGGCTTATTTGTGTATTTGTATTTGTGTACCATTATTTTGTTATTCAGTTGCCACAAACGCTCAGACGGGTCCTTAAGCTAGCTTCTTTTTTTTACAATTAAACGAATTTAGTCTTAACTACGATGTATGATTTACAGGGCGCTAGCCGCCACTCTTTGAGTACTTCTTCCAATAGCGTTTGACATCGTCGTGCCCGTTTTTCTGCACCACCATGGTGCGTGTGCGCTCATTCTGCCACACCAGCATGTTGATGGACTGCGCGTAGTCGCGTAACGTGACAAAGTCCGTTTGTGAGAGGAACTGATTGTAGACAACGCCCTCCGTATAGGTGAAACGATTGCGTTCCAATTCCCAGAGTTTTATTTGATCCACGACAGTGGGCGGCAGGCAGGATTTTGATTGAATTGCGGACTCGACCAGTTTCATGTTGGGATGTGCATACTGCTCCAAATAGCTAACGATTTGCTCCGCAGTAATGCCGCCACGCAGCGCTTGACGCACCGAGTCGCGTGTAAGGACACCCACAACGAGATTGGGAAAGCGATACAGGAGCTCGGTGAACAGTCCCAGCACAGCCACCTGCAGCTGTGAGTCTGTGTAGGCGTAAACGCGATAGTTTGTTTCCACCACAATGTAGCCTCGTTCCTGCATGCGCTCATCATCCGCCGATGTGGAAGCCTGCGCCGCATCCTTGTTGGTCACATTAAGCGCCAGTCGTGTGGGATAGAAACGACCCTCCTTGCGCTTTCGCTGGAACACCAGCCCAAACTCGCGGAGATGCTGCAGAAACATTAACATTTGATGGCTCATGCCCTCCGAGCTATAGTCGCGTCCCAGTGTCGAGAAGCTCAGCTGGAAAAGCATGGATAGGCATTCGGGCAGTGAAAAGCCGCGCTCCTCGCAAGTCTCCAAATACTGCAACATAAAATGCCAGACCTGAGCGCGAGTGTCCAGCAGCAAAAACTGAAATCCCTGACGTGTGATGGTGATGCCATCGCGTTCATCGCGCTTCATCAGATTGGCATGCAACAGAATGCGTACAGCATCCGGACTAATGGCCTCGGCATCGGTGCCGCCATTCCGACTGCCCGTACCCACCATATAGTGGAGCACACAGCGCCAGCGGGCCATCGCGTATGTGTCGAGGAACGCAATGTCGCGCGGTTTGGAGTCTTTGTCCAGCGTATTGGTCATTGCCCATGGCTTGCCGCCGCCCAGCAGCACCTGACGCACGCTCTTCTTAAATGTGGGCGACAGCTCCCAAGCAGCCAGGCCGCCCGGTATGGCTGTGACGCGCCAAACATTCAAAGCAGTCAGGCAGCTGGTGGCTTCCATTTGCTCCCTGTTGGCAAGGATTACACGATATTTAATAGAAGCTTGGGGTAGACATAGGCATGCTGACCGCATTACTTACTTGGCAATACGCTGTGCGCCCCATGAGCTGACAACGGCCTGGGGAACTGGTTGATCGACAAACAGTATGCGTATTACAAATTGTCTGGCAATTTCGGGCAGCTCGCGAAAGACGGCCAGACAAATAGGTGGATAATTGTAAAGCTTCTCCAGTGATTCGGGTGTTTGACGTGTGCGTAGATAGTCTTGAAAGTTTTTACACTCCAAATTCTCGGGGCTCTGTACTAGCGGGGATATTGTTGCACTGCTGCTCGCATAACGGCCAGACTTCGTATCGGCCATGGCACGACGTACCAAAATTATGTTTAGCAATTTCGCGTCTGAATGCAAGCTGATATCGTTGCCGGCTTATCGATAATTCGATCAATCAGGTAATTAATCACGCTGCTTGTGCGATATTAAAGCTATCGATGATACGATTAATGTGGATAACTCTGAAACCTTTATTATTTTCAACAACTCCAATTGATTATCGGTAGTTATGTGTAGATTAATTGTCTTATAATGCACTGTGTTAAATATTTCGATACAAGTATGGTGGTGATATATGATTGTTAACTTTTAAGATATTTAGCATGATCAGCATACCTGTCTAAGGCGATAACGATAATTATAATGTAATCAGTGCACGTCTGCAGTCGATAGAGCTCTGCTGTTGCTAGCACCGCGTGTTTTGCAATATATTTTGGCTTAAATTTGTCCACAAAAATGAGTGACGATGAGGAGCAATACAATGCCGTATCACACAAAAAGTTGCTGCAGACTATCAGCAATCTGGGCAACGTGCAACACATTCGCAAGTCGACACGCGACGAGCGCCAGCAGAAACAGGATGAATTTCAGCTGGTCAAAAGTGTCAACACCGCAGAGCATGCAGCCAAAGCGGTGGGCTTGAATGATCTGGTTCAGATACTGCGCACCTCCAAGCACATTGAAACTGGCAAGAAGCTGAAAAATGTGCACAGCACCAAAAAGGTTTTGCAGAAGCCACTCGAGAAGCCAGCAGCCGATCGCATAAAGCGGACAATTGGCTACGAAAGTGTTTCGAAAAAACTGGGTCGCTGGGATGCTGTTGTGGCCAAACAGCGTTCCGCCGAGACACAGGTAAGCGAATCTATCTACCAAGATTATGTCTGAGGTATAAAACATATTTTTGCAGATATTTCCCATACCTACGGAAACGATATACGTTAACACAGCGGCGCATTCAAATGCAATTAAAACCAGCATCAAATCCGAGTTGGCCAAGGAGCTTCAAGCGAGCAATGAAAAGTTGCGTCAATTACGCAAAGCACAAATTGGCGATAATACCGATGAGAAGACATTGGCCCAACAGGAACAGGAGCTGCTTCAAAAGAAAATGAACCGGCAGGAGCTGTATGCGCGTCGCCGGGAATTGGCCTACTTAAAGATGCGCGAATCACAAAAGTCGGCCAAAGCGCGGATGCAAAATAAAATCAAATCGAAGAAATATCATAAGCTGCAGAAGCGGCAAAAAATTTTGGAGCAAATGAAGGAATTCGAGCTGCTGCAAAAAACGAATCCGGAAGCTGCGCTAGAGAAACTGAATGCATTGGAAAAGAGTCGCGTCATGGAACGCGCCAGTTTGCGGCACAAAAACACCGGCACTTGGGCCAAGAATCTTCAGGTGCGCGCTAAATATGATAAGGATGTACGCAAAGATCTTGCTGAGCAGTTGGCTGTTAGTCGACAGTTGACCGAAAAGAAAGTGGACACCGATAGTGAGGATGAGCCAGCCGCAGTAAAGATGGAAGCAAATGAGCAAGTGGATAACGATCCCTTTAACCCCTGGACGAAAGTTAAAACTGCCGAAAAGCCGGATACTCAGACTGAAGAGAATGAACCAAACTGGCGGACATATTGGACGGAGCGCAACAAAAATGAGAAGCTACTGGCTAAGCATCGTGCAGAAATTGAAGACGCTAAACTGGAGAAAGTTGAGAAGTTGAAGGTGGAACAAAGCAAAAAGCAGCCTAAAACCAAATCAATGAAAAAGAAGAAAAAATCTGTAAGCGCTGTGGAAAATGGCTGGGTGGTTGAAGAAGTCAAAGAGCCGCCTGTCAAAACGCAAACAATTGAAGACATTTTCGACAAGCATGAGGAAAATATTCGCCAAAAGGTTGCAAAAAAGCTGGAAAAGCTTCGCAAGCAAGCGGAAAAACTTGGGCAGCCCAGCAAAAAAGGCAAATCCATAAAGAAGAAACGAGATGAACTGCAAAACCTAAAAGACTTGACATTTAAGAAGACCAGACAGCGTGTGGAAATTGATGAACCGCTCAACCAAGATGAGGAACAGCCAAACCTGGCTGCTAAAATTGCTGGCGAGTTGGCCAAGCCCCAGAAGAAATCAATGGAATCAGAACCGACATCAGCCGAAACCGTAATTGATCCGAATAAAGTGACAACCATAACGTGGAAACAAAAAATGCATGCCTCGGATGCAATGAACGACGTGCTTGCGGATGACAATGAGGCAGATTATGATGAGGCGGATGCAGCCGCCGAGCGTCAATTGACGATAAGTCAGGCCTTTGAGGATGATGATATTATAGCTGATTTCAACAAGGATAAGACTAAAGATTCCGAGTTGAAGAATACGGAACTACAGCTGGCTATGCCGGGTTGGGGCTCATGGGCAGGCGCTGGTATTTCCCAGGAGATTATGAACAGACGCAACAAGCGATTGCTGCTAAAATTGGCAGCACCCGAGAAGCGTCGCGACGACAACAAGAACAATGTGTACATCAATGAAACGACAAGCAAACAGGCGCGGGCCCACATGGTCTCCAGCATACCGTTCCCCTTCACATCCATGGCCGACTATGAGGCTAGCATTCGAGCCCCCATTGGCCGCAACTTTGTCCCGGAAACTGCATTCCGTATGCTGACACGTCCGGCGATCATTACACGCAAGGGTCAAGTTATCGAGCCGATGGATGAGAGTGAATTGGTTAAACCAGACCGCCGATTGCGTCATATTGTGGACAGACGAATAGATCGCTTGCAAAATCCACTAAAAGCCACGAAAGTACAATAATAATGTTAAAACTAATATAATATAAATGCGCTGATCTTTGAAAATATGCAAAAATGTGTTTTAGTTTTGTCACTCAGCCCAAAAGTATGCTTAAAACTTATTGATTTTTGGAGACCAGTTAATTAATTAAAAATGGATATTAATAATAATAAAACACAAATGCCGTTACAGTTGATTTAGGATATTGTTTGTTTGTTTGTTTGTTGTTTTTTTCAATCGTTTATTTTACAAAACATTTTGGCAATGCCAATAAATGGCTTGCCTTTGACTAAATGAATCAAAGGAAAGTCTCATTGCTAAATTGCGCGTTGTTTCTGTTTGTTACTTAATTATTTGGAATTTTGTATACATATTTATATAGACGCTAAATATTGTATAAATCATTTAACATACGTATGTGTGTATATAAATAATACAATTTTTTTGTATTAACTAAATTCAAATCACGCAGAGCAAAGTAATTGCAATCTAAATCGACAGCACATTTCCAAACTATCATGAAAATTAAACAAATAATATTGTAAACGAATTATAAATTGGAAGCAGCAACAGGTGCACTTTAACCTAGTTGACATTCAGATGTATAATATACACACATATATATATTTTTAAATTTGTTATTGTTGAATTGCTTGTTGATGTGCTTGCAATATTCCAATTGCTTTTGCGTTTCTTTATTTTTTTTTTGCTTTCATTTTGCTGTTTTGCATGTAGCTACAATTTGGCTAATATATTTTATTAATATGTATGTATGTATATTTCTTATACTTTTGCATAATACTTTGCTTTGCCATTTGCACACGAAGCAAAAGTTAAAGAACTAGCAATAAACAAAAGTTCTTAACATTTATAAACTACTTAACGTAAAACGGCTCACATCAAATTGGTTTTCAATTCTATGCTTTGAATCGACTATGTTCTTGGCGCCGATTGATTTTCGAAACGATTCCACAAAAATGTGCATGGAACACTTTTCAGATAGAATTATGAATCCTACTTTGAATTGAATTTGACATTCAGAACATAGAAGATGTACTTTAAAACATATATTTTTGTATATATTTATATTGATATCCGTTCAAATGTGTACGTTTTAGCTGGCTTAGGAAAATGCCCCGACTTTAAGTCGTATTTTTCGTTTAACTTAGGTTTTCATTTCTTTTGTTTGTTGTTTATCGAACATAATATGTATATAGGGCTCATAGAATTGAACCCATGCATGCATTGGATCATTTACAATTTATGTTTTTAATAACATAGTTTTGCTGCTACTAAAATGCTAATAAAAGACACTTTTTTTTACTTGCCAGGCATTTCAAAATTGCTTATCTTTTGATTTCCATACACAACACATACATTAACCAACTTATATATCCCCGACCCCTCCCCACCCTTATCTCCCCTTAGTTTTGGTAAGCTTAACGGCTGGCAATCCTTTTTTTAATACCCTGTCTGTCTTCCAGTTATCCTCGTTGTGGCTGCATCCCCCTCTCTCTCTCTCTCTATCTCTCTGTTTGTCTGTCCGTCTCTCACTTACATTAGGACACAGCACTTGCGACTGTTGCTGGTGCTATCGCTGACCACATCGCCGGTGTTGCCACTAAATTTGTTGACCGCACTCGCATTGCCAACAGCTGCCGCTGGCGACGCAGACTCAAACTCCAGTAAACTGGGACTCATTGCGCCGAGGCCAAGGGGCTGTGTGGCAATTGGTCCAGCACCATTGTTGTTGTTGTTGTTGTTATTGTTGTTTGCGCTGCTATTGTTGTTATTGTTGTTGTTGTGATTAACGGTAGTGGCGGCTCCTAAAACAGAACCATTAGTTGTTGTTGTTGTAGCACTTGCAGCAGTTGTTGTTGTTGTTGTGGATGATGAGAGTTCGAAATTATTAAGCACATTGGCGGTGCGCGAAAGCGAACGCTGCTTTTTCAAATTCGACAAAGTAACGGCACCAGCATCCATAGCAACATATTGCTGTTGCTGATGTTGTTGCTGCTGCTGCTGCTGATTTTGCTGCAGCAGCAGCGCATGTTGCTGCAGCTGTTGTTGATGTTGCTGATGCTGTTGGTGCGGATTTTGCTGATTCTGCTGCTGATGTTGCTGCTGCTGCTGATGATGATGCGTGCTGTTTGTGTCTACATGAGGGACATTTGTTGTGGGTGGGTGGGTTGCGTTGGGTGGTGTCGATGTTGGGTGGGTAAATGGTTGGTTGGTTGGTTGGTTGTTTGTTTGTTTGATGATGATGCAGGCAGGCAGGCAGACGACACAAAACGAGCGACACAAAAAAAATAAATAAACATAAAATTACAAGCAAATGTTATATAAGTTTGTCTTCTTTTTTTTACATTTCTTTTTTTTACATTTAAGAGAGAGTTTGAGCACGAATCTTGTGTACACTTTCACCGCTTACAGTGGCAGAAGCTTGTTAGTAGTGAGTTTAAGGACAGAACGACATGTAACTAGACCAGAAGACATTAATACCCTTTAACAGTGAACATATAGAATAATAATAGGAAAAAGGTTCGCCTTGTGGTTTTTTTTTTAAGTTCTAGTAGCTCTTTGAGTATTTTGAAACATTATTTTATTAAAGAAATAATAATTTGGTTGAAATTGTCTGTTTAACAAGCCAAAGTACGCCTAATTCGTACATGGAGCATTTTTCTGATGGACTAACTTTTACTTCGTGTAAGAAACCTGTGCACATATAATATTAAAGATAATTAAATTACCTTTCCAAAGTGTATAAACTTGTATGTTGAGTATTCCCCAAACATAAATAAAAAGCTGAAAAATGCGCGAAGTTCGAATTAAAAGTGGCCTTAGGTTTGTATATACAGATTATATTGTTAGTTCTACAAAGGAATAAATATTGTAATATTACAGAAAGTTAAACCACAAGAGAAATGAGAAGTATGACAAAAATGCTCACAAAACATCCAATTAGTTGAGTTACAAATTTCAATATCAAAGAATATTTTGAACAAACAAACAAAAAGAATGAAGGAAAAAGACTTTACTTCAACAAAAAATTTACGTAGTTTCTACAATGGACATGTTGAAAATATGTAAAAGATCAATACAACATTCCGATTACTAATGTTAATAACAGAAAATATCGATACTGCGCTCGATACCCCAACAGAATACATTGAATAAAAGATCTTCTTAGTCTTTAAAACCCAACAGGACATTACTTTAAAAATCGATAAATATTACACAAATACAAAAGATAAAGCTCTGCACGAATTATGACTGATAAATCTCTAAAGACAAATATCTATTTTATTAAATACTATTCCTTTTTGAAGAGTATGCGTTAGTCGACTAGGCCTAAACTGCAGCATGCTCTTTTGTGGCTTGACTTTCGTTTTGGAAAATAGACTCGTTAAATGGACACATTGCAAATGGACACAAGGGACATATGGCATTCAAGCGGTGCTTCTTGATTGGAGCAAGCTGTGGTGTGATTTGATTTGTGTGTGTGTGTGTGTGTGTGTTGCGCGAAGGTGTGAATGTGTGTGTGTGTGCCTGGATACTCACCCACTAGAACTGTGACCTGCACGTTGATCTTGCCATTGCCGGCCGCCTTGGATGACTCAATCTGGACCGCTTCGGCGCTGGCAGCAGTGCCCTTGTCAGTCAATATGACAGCTGCCGCAGATGTGGCACGTTGCACTTCACCGGTGCACTCGTCGCCGGCCTTGAGCAGCAGCTGCTCGTCATTCTCGCGACCGTCGGGCGGACGACGCGGCAGATAGGAATGTGTCGTTGTTAGCGTTACGTTGTCCACAGCATCCGCGGATTTCGAGTGCGACAGCAATTGGCCATTCTGGCTGGCCGTGGAAGTTCGCTTCTCAGCATTGTTGTTGTTGTTGTTGATGGTGTTGGTGTTGGTAGTGATGCTGTTGCTGTTGCTGTTTGTGTGATAACCATAGCCATTGGGCAGATGATCACCAGCAGCGCCAAGAGCAGCAGCAGCATCCGTTGTGGTGCCCGTATCGGTGGCCTCCTGCGCCTGCAGACGCAGACGAGCCTCCTCCACGGCATCCTTTTTGGTTGTAAGCGTTTTGTCGCGCAGGCTGGTGCGCCGCACCGATTGGGCTCTAAAAAAAGAACAATTATAATAATAATATCTATTTGGTTTTGATATGTTTCATTCATTTACCTAGTATTATTGCTCTGCGAGCGTCGAACGCGCCTTCGTTGCGCCTCTGCCAGTCGTTTGCTCTCCTGTTCCGTTTTCAGCTGCTCAATGCGCTCCCGTATCTCCTGATCCTCACAGATATCTGAAAAAGAACAACAAAACAGAGTCGCCAACTTTAGTATAGTGCAGAGAACAGTGCCAGCGATAAGTATGTGCACACACCTGAGGGCGTCTCATCGTCTTTGTTGCGCACATTCAAATCAGCGCCGCATTGGGCGAGCATCTCCAGCACTTCAAGCTATAATGGGAGTTGAAAGTTAACAGAGACTCGAACTATCTTTGGCTGGCTGTTTTAACTGACGAACTTTTAACTGACTGTTTACTGCTATGGGGAGTTAATTGACAAATGATAAGTTTGCTAAAGTTACCAAAGAAAAAAAAAAACAAAGAAAAGTTGTTCAAGTCTGAATTTCTAAATCGTCTGAAATATTCTACACTCGGAAAAAAAATGCCATCTAAGATTTAGAAATCATCTTGATCTGGTCGCTAAAAATATACAATATAATAATAATAAATATAATATTCGAATGGGCATGGTTCGAAATTTCCCAATTCAAAAAGATCAATTCTACTAGAAATAAGTTCTAAATAAATCCATAAATAATAAATAAAAATAGTGTATAAAAGAACTGTGTGATATAGCGAGCCGATCTGGTGAACTGTTAGATAAACTGGCTGCAGCAAAATGACTAATTTGAACCAAAATATTTAAGAACTGAGATTAGTTTAGGGAGTCGAAGGAGAAGTTTGCTTCACAAGAGGCAAGTGACAAAAAGTGATGCTTTGCTTACATGCCCCCAACATGCAGCCGCATGCACTGGCGTCCACAGATCCTTGTCCATGGCATCCACGTTGACATGCTGCTCCAGCAGAAATTCCACAACACGCACATAACCATTGGCCGAAGCAATATGCAGCTGCAAATGACAAGGATTAATGATTAATGATGCTCTGATGCAATTAGAGATTAGGGTATTTAGCATACCGGTGTGGCGCCTTGATAGTCGGGCTCCTCTAGATCGCCAGAGATGCGTGCTAGTTCCATTAGTTCCTTCAGCATGACACGCTCCGTGGATGATCGCGTCTCATCTATCAGCTCCTGGGTGACGCCTCGCTGTGCCATTTCGCCCTCGATAAAATCGAGGGTATTCTCATCGTCGCACAGATCGTACGGCATATTGCCGTCCGTATTGACGGCGAGCAGATTGGCATTATGCCGGATGAGTATGCGCACCAGTTCCAAATGACCGCAGGTGGCTGCCGCATGCAGCGGCGTCCATTTATCACTGTCCTGCGCATCCACATTGGCCCCATAGTCGAGCAGCAGCCGCAGCATGTCCACATTGTTATCAATGCAACACTGATGCAGCGCCGTCAGTCCATCTTCGTTGGCCGCATCCGGTGTGATGCCGTGCTGCAGCAGCGCCGCCACCTCGGGCATATCGTTGCGCGACGCGGCCTCCAACAGCACCACGCTATTCTCGAAGGATATGTGCCGCCGGCCGCTCAGCGTCCCCGACCCATTCGCATGGCGAAAATGATGTGTTGTATCTCCGCCGACACCGCTGGCGCCACCGCCGCCATTTAATAGATTGCTAACCGTTCCGGCACCGCTGCCCGTCTGACCCTTGGCCCGTTGCAGCTTCAGCCATTCCTTCTCCTTTTGGCGGGCGAGTTTCAGCTGCTGGGCACGTCGTCTGAACCATTGAAAGAAACGAGTTTTGCAATTTATTATATAAATTTCGAAATGTTTCAATGTAGAAATGTAGATTTATGGTCTAAAATGGTTAAAGCTACAGAAAAAAAACAAAAACGGTAATCATTCTGATTTAAATTAAATTTCTTTTGATATTTGCACAGAAGTTCAGAAATGAAGCCAAAATAAAAGCTTAATGGGATTTATTTATTGGTAATTTAATACGCTTCCAATTGGGAAATTAAAATTCAAATTGGGAAACGATGAGAGAGAGAGCGAGAGAGGGAGGGAGAGAGCGTGACAGAGAGCAATCAGAATTCAGAGAGGCTGTGATAAAAATTAATTAAAAGTACAAAATACACATAATTAAAGTTAATAAAAACGTTTCTGTGGCATTTTTTATTAATCTCAAAAAGAAAACAAGATATATAAAATATATAACTTTCTGAAATTTGTAAACTGAAATGAATTCAAGCAAAAATTTCGAGCCAAACGTTGAAAAAGTTAGGTTTATTTAGTAAGGTTTATTGGAGACGTGAAATTCGAGTTGATTTCATGTAATTGCATATACTTGTATCCGATTACGACACACTTTCTTCTTGCTGCACAACACAGCTGAGTTAAAATCAATCAAAACTTGGTGCAAACTTTTGATGCCTTGCTGCAAAACTTTACTTGCTGCGGTTGCTTTTTCTCCTGGAGCGTGCAGCAATCTCTTGAAATAACAGAAGGTGTCTTTAAGGAAATGGGAATTTAATTGCAAGCGGACAAGAACAACAATCGAATTGTGCGTGACTCCCAATCGAAATTGTTTACCAGGACAATACTTTGTTGGCCTTGTGCTAAATTGTCAAAAAGCTCAACACGTGAATTGGTCATCAAATCACAAACAATTTTAACATCTGTTTCTGCTTTTCTTTTCCAGCAAGTTTCAGCACATAAGTTTATTGTCTGTGTCTGTTTCAACAATTTTAAATACTAAGGTGTATTTTAACCAAACTAGAAGAGTTAATTCCTGATCAAAATACTCTGAGCATAGATAGAAAACATAGAAAACTTAACTTAACTTTTTCTGTGCGAATTTTAAATGTGTTTTTGCATCGCAAGTTGAAAATTTTATAGTAAATATGCAAATCCTAATAAAATGCTGACTTAAATGCAATGGATGTGCATCGAGGATTCCTCCTCTCTTTCACAAAACCTGCAAAGATCGCTACTATATATGCCTAGTTTAGTTAAGTGACTCCTTAGTCTATGGTATCCTGTCAACAGACCGGTAAGTATCCCAAGGCTGTTCTTTCCCAATCGTTATAGCTTGCTTAAATCGGTTAAGTTTATAACCACCTCGGAGACATCTGGCTTATCGGAGTCCCACTGCCTCTGACCAGCTCTGTTGCCGCATCTGTCTCTACTCATTTCTAAGTTCCACTCGTATAGTACGATTATATATATATATATATATATATATGTTTTTTAAGAATGTCTTAAAGGACGTCTTAAGCATAAATAGTTCGTAAGGCAATTGAAGATATAGAGATATCTGATATGGTCTTCCTCCAAGTCTTTCTCGAGCATACTTACAGTCTTGCCAGCTGCAGTCTCTCGTGGGTTGGCAGACTTTCGACGGTTTGCATTTCGGCCACGAGATCGGCGTGTTCCATTTTCAGCTGTTTCGTGTAGCTGGCATCCTCCTGACTTTTGCGCTGTATTAGAATGCCCTTGATCATTTTGTCGCCGCTTGTTCAGCTTGCTCGGCTGCCCAGATGATATGTCGTTGAATACACAAGTTATTTGGATATTTAGTGAATTGGCAACTCTAAGTTCTGCCACAATTGGTTGCTGTTGCTTTTGTTGTTCGTCGTCTTCGTCGCTGGCATGCAAATTGTAATTTGCATCTTTGAGTTTGAGTTTCGTTGGTTGTCTCTCTTGTGGCTTGATTTTTGCTATCATTTGAGAGCAGCGTCTGCTGCAGCTGCTTCTCTTATTACAAATATTATTATGTATTAGTATGCTTCTGGCTGTTGTTCTTGTTCTGGTTGCTGTTGTTGCTTTTGCAGTTGCTGCAACGCTGCAGCCGAGGAGGCAGCTCCCATATTTGTCAGCTTGTTATTTTACTCACAGCCGTGTTTACTTTTGATTTCAATGTGTTTTCCTTTTGGGCTCCACAGCACATCCACTGCAATGAAAATTAAGAGAAATACATATGTAATACATATATACGACAACATATATATATATGTAAAATGCTTTTATTTTTCTATATATATATATAGATTTCCTTGAAACTATGCGAAATTAAGTTTTTCGACTTGCCACAAACACAAAGTTGAATGAATTTTGATTCATTCAAAATTAGAGCTGAAAATACTTTGACCAGCACACAAAAGTTGTGCAGTTGGATTCAAATGAAAAGAAATCATATTATCCATGCAATTTTGTTTTGGCCAATTTCTGTTTAACTGCGCAAAAACAACTACAACTTCCGCAGGCAACTACTTCCGTTATGTGTAAGTCTGAAACCAGTAAGCATATCTTCTAGTTGGGTAAACAAGTCTAGATACATTGTTGTTTGCTTGCTTGTTTGTTTGTTTGTTGTTGTTGTTTGTTGCAGTTGCTGTGAGTTAGCCAGTTTGGGGAAGTTTGTCTGTAGTTATGGACGGCTTAGCCGTCAACAGAGAATGCATAAGGCAAAAAATCCAATTGCATGAGAAAATTATTCGGGCAAAGTAAGTAAGATAAATTGATGGTGCCACTAAAGTAGCTGTGGCATGGCCAGCTAAAGCAACAGTCGCGCCAATCGTTCTAATGGAACAGCTATCAACAACACACACACACTCACACACACACACACACAGACGGAGTGGCAACATTTTGAGCAATTTTTTATTTAGAACCTGCTGAAGTGTAAGAATAATGTGACTATGTATGTTATGCACGTCCTTCGCTTGGTTCAATAGCCAAAACTTAACAGTAGCAGCAGCAGCAGCAGCAGCAGCGTCAAATGTTGCAAGTCGGCCAGCCATCGCTTTGAGTTTATTTGATTTAGTAGACCAACTTGAAGACCACCCTGCCACAACCCAGCCCCAGCCACTGTGTGTGGCTGTTGTGGCGCTCGCAAAGAGAATTTTTAAATAGCAGTTGAAAAGCGCTTTAAACAACTTTCAATTCTCAGCTGCCAACTGCACTGAGTTGCTCATTTTCTATGCTCTTTCTCTCTCTCTCTCTCTCTCTCTGTCTCTCTTCACGGACTCTGTCCCAGTGGAGAGGATATACCTGTGTGAGTAAGTCCTTAAATAAACAGCATAAAAAATCTGTGTGTGCCTGTCCTGGTATGCTGTCTGTAGTGGAAGCCACTGCAGTGCTTAAACTTCATGAATGTACATTAAAATTGCAACTAGATGCTACTTGAGCATATTTTAAGACTTAATCGGCTTTTCACAAACTTTTACAGAAATAAGCACAAGCAGAATTCTTTTTTTGCAGAGTCCCTTAGTAAAATGTGCAATCAAATAGAAAAAGATGTGGATGGTACTTAAGCGATTTCCAGTCCATTTATGTCTGCAATTGGAATTTAAAAGCTTGAAAAATGTTTTCGAGACTTAACATTTCGAAACTAATTGAATATTTTACAAATATATCAATTTATTTTTTCCCATATTTAAATATTATGAGCTGGCGACTTCAAATTTCGAAGGTTTTTAATTAATAGTTTTAATTTTAGTTGGAATTTATAATAAGTCGTAAATCAAAATGTGACAATTGTTTTTTTTTTTTTTGTTATTGTTTTTGTTTTTTTTTACTTTACTGGTATTGATTAAGCCAAAAGTTTAACTAATCTGTAGCTGATGGGTGAGCTAATTAGTTGTCAGTTGAGCTCGTTAGTGTTTTTGACTGTTGAACTGTTATACGTTTGTGGGGAGTCCGATGGTGCATGCAGTTTGTGGCACAGAGAGTTTCGCAAACTAAAATTGGCACAGAGAAAGAGAGAGAGAGAGAGAGAGAGAGAGAGAGAGAGAGAGAGAGAGAGAGTAAACCTGTGATCCTTTCTACTCGTCGCTTTGCTTTGACAAATACGGGCGACGAGGGACAAGGTGGCAGAACGGACAATCAGCACACGAATTTAATTTGCATGGCAAGCCATTTGGCGCAACATCAACTTCAGCTGTGGCTTTAGTTTCAGCTCCAGTGCCTCTGACGCTGGCGCTGACGTTGACTGTGACTCTGTCGGGAGGTCGCCGGTCTCAGTTGGAGCCCAACTTGAATCACATGCGCTCCTTTTTTTTTATTTGATTTTGATTTCATTTTTCTCTTTTTTGGGGCGCACACAGCAGGCAAAAACCTCAACACAGCAACAAAGGCAACAGCAACAACAACAACAACAATAGCAACAACAACAAAGAACTATAATTTACGTTGCCCTGCATTGCTGTGGCACAGTTTTCATTTTTTTTTCGGGTTCCCCAGACCACTGGCACAAAAAGCAACAGCAATAACAATAGGCCTGGTCTGCTCCAGTGCCTTCGACGCTTGGCCTCGCCACATGCCACATGCGCCCCCTGGGCAAACGCTTACAACTAACATCCTTAACCCAATCCTCATCCTCACCCTTATCCACATACTCATTCACACACCATGCCATACACACACACATACAGTCACATTCACATTCACATGCCTGCCACACATTCTCAGTCTCATTGCGCTTCTCATCCTGGTAGTAGCCGGGTGCTAATGCACTCAATGCAAGCATATAATTCGCTGCCCTCCAGCCTGAGAGCATGCAACACTCGTGAGCCAACAAACGTTAGCCAAAGCCACCCATAAACATTATTTGCCCACCCACTGTTACAGTGGCTGCCAATATTAGAACTGAGCTGCCGTATTTCGTTTTTTATTCTTTCTGCTTCGTTTTTTTACGAGCTTATATAGGCATGCAATTATTTCTATCAAGTAGCAATAAGGGAATTGGCATTAAGCCATAAAAAGTATATAAAGGAACAGCAAAGATTCACATTTAAGCAAAAATGGGCATCGATTTGCATGGCATAATAAATGACAGACTTAGATGGGATGGGACGATGCACCGGAGAAATGCATAAATAGTGGCTAAATGTACAAGAACCTCAATATTAAATCCATATATACGATATATATATGTACTTTATTTATGCAGAAAATATATTAAGCGCAAAAATCTTAAGCTGCTTTTCGATTGATTCCTTTTTTTTTTCTTTAACGGGTTAAAGAACCTTTCCTTTTTTAGGATTATTTTTCGTTGATTAAGGAACCTTTTTTTAGTTGGTTAAACATTTTTATGAAAAAGGAAAATTGTTTACAAAAAGTATATTTGCCAGGCAATAAAACACCAATTCAAATCAAGTTTGTCGGCTTACTTCATTCTCATTCGAATTCTGAAGAACATTCTCAGATTGTACATTTTAATTTGCTGTTACATATAAGATAAGCTCCCTTTGTGAAGCAATCATCTTCAAAATAATTGAGAATTTTTACAAAAAATTGGAATATATTTTTAAAAAATATACAATCAACCAACTTGAATCAAGTTTATTGTCAGCTTACTGAAAAATGTCTTCAGCATGTAGATCTCAATTTGCTCTTACAAATTCTCAAGTTAAGCTTATTTTCCACGGTGCCACTCATTAGAAGTCCTCTGCTCAGAGTCGATGCCAAACCTCCGACACCAGCCTGAAGGTGTTTTTTGGCGCTTGTTGTGGCTTGGCCCACATGCCGCTTATACTGTCCCTTTTACTGTTACTGATGTTCTTGTTGTTGTTGCAGCTGTTTGCTGTTGCTATTGCCGGTGGACTCATGTTGCACATTGCGCCTGTCGAGAGCCATTCATTTTTGTGCGTCCCCGCTTTAAGAGCTTGCCCCGACACTGTTCAGGTCGGTCATCATCAACACAGTCGTCATCATCGTCACCATCGTCACCATCGTCACCATAGTCGTCGTCGCTGTCATCACTTGCCTTGATGTCGAGCCACTTAGTTTGAATTACGCTTGATGAGTTTTTCACATTTTTGTTCCTATTCGTATTCCTATTTTTTCTGTTGGAACTTTTTATCTTATATCTTAATGCCGTGGATTCCATAAATTACTTGCATTTGGCTTCTAATATAAAACAGTTGCATAAATCTGAAGCTTAAGCAGCAGCAATATTAATAACTTAAGAGGCCACCGCACGCAAACGAGTAACTATGCCACGGGCCATGAGAATGGAATCAGGACCCTAATGGAATGAGTAGGGACAGGAACAAAGGAAGCTATCATGCCTGACCGCAGATAGCACACGCATACGCCCTGATGGACGACAATGGCTTGGCTTGGCTTGAGTTTTCGGCAGTGGTTGATTGTTGTTGTTTTAATGGATAGCTTGATGCTTGCCACAAATTGTGTGCACATTCGTGAACTGCAGATACAGCAGAGGATGTTGCCTTGTATTGATGCGACAGCTGCAGCAGCAGGCAAAACCATAAATGAAAATTGCAATGCAATATCCTTGAAGCCCAGTTATTGCTTTCGTCCTACCAGCTCGTTATGCACCTGCCACACGTCGCCTCAAGCATGACATGCGGACAAAGTACCGCACGAACATCTCCATCGTAACGTAATTAAAATGTCTGGTTTATGGCAATTGCTTTGCGTTACGCAAATGCACCAGTCACAACCAGATAAGCTAAATAAAAGTAATATTAATTAAAAATAACTGCATTTATGTTGTATGTCAGTTTGTTCATTTGTTTATCCTCGATGATCAAGTAAATAAAAGTAAGGGAACAAGTTTTAAAGCGATTTGTAAGCAATGCTGCCACTGAATACATTTACACACACTTTGCATTTCATTAAGCAATTAGCTTTTTGTTCTTTCGCACCAATTTAACCAGAGCAGTTACAATGCACAATTTGCTGTTCTGTGACTGTGAAATTATGTTTGAAATCATTGTCAAACAGAAATAAATAACAATAAAATAAATTGCTTGTTCTTTCGAGTTATGAATATTTACCGGCGCCTTAAGGCAAATAATATGCATAATAATGTGTAACAATCTCTATGATGGACTAGACAATATCCTATATATGTGCTATATATATTAGGTGAACATTGTGTGAAACCAGCCAAAATATAATACATAAATATTCATATAAATATCAGCT